TTGGGAAAGGGTGTAGCAATTCTGTCTAATCAGGGTGAGATCCTAGCCAGGGCACAAGGAGAGCATGAAGGTGATTTGATTGTGTTACCTACTGAGAGTGTGGAAACCTGTAGCAAGAAGGAAAAGATTCCTGAACTTGTGTGTGGCGAAGGGAAGGAGAATGCTTCTGACCTTTTATCTAGGAAGTCTGTAAGTTTGCCTGAAAGGGGATTGTGTAGGAATCCGCCAGATGGGCCAGAGGTAATTCTGGATGTAAGGGAGACCCAGAAAGAGTCTGTTGTTGCTCAGGAAAATGTTCCTCTAGAGCAAGCCCTAGGTAAAGAGGTAAGAGCAGGATTTCTGTGAGGGGTGAATTGTTGCACAGAAAAGCCCTGGGGAAAGGAATCCTCATGGAGTCTTTGCAAGCAGTTTACTGCAACTGAAGAGTGTGAAAGTGATTTAATCAAGAAAGGTTCAGTTCCTAACAGCCAGAAATTTTCTGTTGTGAATGGATCCACTGACTTTCCTGTTGAAGGATCCAGTGTGGGTAGCTTTGAGAAGGTCTCAGATGAAGTGAAAGCTGTTAAGAAAGTTAAACAGTCCTATAACCAAGTGGCTGTGTTTGGCCAGCTTGTTGGGGAGACAAGGTTGTTGAGAAAGGGATGTCTCCATGCTAGTTCTGTAAGTGAACAGTATGTGGCCCAGTTCAAGATGGGGACTCTTAACCAAGAGAGCCTGAATTGCAGCCCTCCAGACCCCCACTAACCTCACAGGCTGCCCTGGACCCAGAGTCGTTCTGTCCATAGGATGGATCGGGGCAACCGCCCCTGGCCCACGCTTCAGGGGGATGTGGGGTCCAGGGCAGCCTGGGGGGCTAGCGGGGGGCCTGGCACTGGGTTTTGGGGGGACTGAGTGGGAAACCACCTTTCACCAATATCCACTGCTTAGGGGCCTGATCCAGTGACTCACTTAAGTATATCTGTAGTGCCAGTGAAGTCAATGGGACAACTCCAGTTTAAACACTTTGCTGGACCAAAGCCTAGGATCTGATCTAAGCCTGAGAACAGACTTGTAAGACGTTCTTTGTGACACCTGGGGATGACTCTGGGGAGTGGCCTTTGTACCCAAATGTTTAACAACGTTAGTTATAAATACCATGCTGGGCATGTCTTCAACAACACACTCACCTAGGCGCGAGTTATATGGGCCCGTGTCGGCCCTTCTCACTGTTGGCTCAAACAGCCTCTTGCAAAGGACATTCGTTTGCCTCCTAGCTGGGCTCGCTTCCCTCCCGTTTGGCAACCAGGGCTGGGCTTGCAACTGTGTGGACGGGTGCCACAGGGCTGGGGCGCGCTGCATTGCTTTTGTCCAGGTCCTGCCAGGTCCCGCTCTAGCTCGAACCCCAACAGCCGAGCTGTTTCATCCCTGCTCAGGGACGGAGCAGTGGGTTTGTCTTTCTTCTCCAGAACCCGGCGATCATGGGGAAATACAGGCAGATGGCCCATCCCACCTCAGCAGGGGAGAGGGCGCAACCGCCCAGAGCAGCACATGGCACAATGCCCGCCAGGCTGCCAGAGTGCTGGTGGGAGGGCGGATTGGCTAAACACAGGTGGGCTTCAAGAAACCATCCACACTGCGCAATGCCAGCTTGCTGAGCTGGTTACGGGATAGCGCCAGGCCAGGCCTCTGCCAGTGCGGCACCTTCTGGGCCACATGGGTTACTGACTGGGACTGCACCATGCTGCCCCCATCCCAAGCACTGGCTCCGCAGCTTGCATTGGCTAGGAACCATGGCCAATGGAAGCTGCAGGGGCGGCACCTGCGGGCAGGGATAGCGTGCAGAGGCCCCTGGCCGCCCCTCTGCCTCAGAGCTGGAGAAACATGTTGCCGTTTCCCAGGAGCTGCCTGAGGTCAGCACTGCCTGGAGACTGCAAACTCCCTCCTGAAGCCCGCACCCCACTCTCCCTGCATCCCAACCCCCTACCCCAGCCCAGAGCCCCCAGCCCACATCCTGAACCCCTCATTTCTGGCCCCACCCCAAGCCTCAGCCTGGAGCCCCCTCCCATACTCCTAACCCTTCAGCCCCACTGCCTAGCCCAGAGCCCCCTCCTGCACCCGAACCCCCTCATCCCCACCCCCACCTCAGAGTCCGCACCCCCTCCCACACCCCAACCCCCTGCCCCAGCCAGGTGAAAATGAGCAAATGAGCAAGGTTGGGGGAGAGCGAGGAATGGATGGAGAGAAGATGGATGGGGACCAGGCCTCGGGGAAGGGGCAGGGCAGGGCCTCGGGGAAGGGGTGTTTGGTTTTCTGCAATTAGAAAGTTGGCAACCCTCGCCCAGTCACTGGTGTTTGACTTAAGCATCTTCCAGCAAGAGAGTGGGGCTGGCTCCACTCAGTAAGAGCTGGAGATCCAGGCTCCCTGGACAAGCAAACAACTCACCCGACCCCTCATCACACAACCACGCCAGCTGCCATCAGGTCATTCCAGGTTTTATTCACCCCCTTGCACATACAGCGTGACAAGGGGCTCTGCGTGGCCTGGGGCACATGCTCCAGGCAGGCCAGGCGCAGCGGAGTCGCTAGCGTTACGTACAGAGGACTTGGAAAAGGCCACAAAGCTTGGCACACCAGGATCGCATCGTCTGACTTGACCCTGCAGCACCTCCCTTTGGTGCTTAGGGGGACTGCAGGTGAACTGGGCAGGGAACGTCCTCATTCAGTGGCTCCCCTTGGGAATGAGCATGCACATGGAGGAAATTCAACCAATCGTGGAAGCTTTTGTATAGCCTTGAAATTATCCCCTCCCTGCCCCGCTTCGGTCTGGCCTGGAACAGCTGCACGTCATTGGTGGCTGCAGCTTGCAGCTGCAATTGGCTTGACAGGCAGCGGAGTAAGTGGCCCTGGCTCCCACCAGCCCAGCCCTGCGTTGACCTATCGCCCTGTCCCATGCACAAACTTAACTTGCTATAAGTGTCAAGACCCGTGTGGTACAAGGGTGGTAGCTTTGTAAGGCTATTAGACTGAAACATGGTTGGTGACCACGAATAATTGGGGGCTCTAGGCTTTGCCTGTCTCCATGGAAAAGGCTACATTTTTGTCATGCAAAAGCCGGGATTTTAGCTAATGTGCTTCCAGCCTGAGAACATAACCCCAGGTCGCGAGTTCTGGTTTTGCAAGACCCGCTTTTGCAATCAGGGGGTCTTGGAGTCTGGCAGTTTGGTAACTTGGCGGTACCGAGATAGTTTGACTGTACAGCTGTATAGGGACTGTTAAGAAATGATCCGTGCAAATTATTAATGTTAACGACCAGCAGTTTGGTTGTGGACACCGGGAATGCCACGCATGGATAATGGACAGGGACAAACCTTAGCTGGCCACAGAGAGGGACTGAATATGGATATGTAGCCCAGCAGTTACAGAAAGGTGGGTCTAAAAAATCTACTTGAAGTCATGACATTTCAGAAAAAGAAAAGGAGTACTTGTGGCACCTTAGAGACTAACCAATTTATTTGAGCATGAGCTTTCGTGAGCTACAGCTCACTTCATCGGATGCATACTGTGGAAACTGCAGAAGACATTATATACACAGAGACCATGAAACAATACCTCCTCCCACCCCACTCTCCTGCTGGTAATAGCTTATCTAAAGGTATTGTTTCATGGTCTCTGTGTATATAATGTCTTCTGCAGTTTCCACAGTATGCTTCCGATGAAGTGAGCTGTAGCTCACGAAAGCTCGTGCTCAAATAAATTGGTTAGTCTCTAAGGTGCCACAAGTCCTCCTTTTCTTTTTGTTAATACAGACTAACACGGCTGTTACTCTGAAACATGACATTTCAGGTTCTTTGGGCTCCTGATTCAGGGCTTCTGAGGTGCTTCCATTTCCCATTCATCTCGTTATTGCATCCGAGTTGTTAGGTGTAAGTGTGCTACCTTAGGGCTTGAAAGCCTTGGGTCTTTATGGAGCTTTGTGCTCTTTAGTTATAACAAGGTGCGTGCTCCTTGGGGGGGTCTAATTTATTGTGTCCTCTGTTATGAACTGAGTCAGAACCCTAGCCCAGTTTGGTAAGGACCTGTGCTCATCACTACATCCCTGGCGCGGGGTCAATCCACAAACATTCTAAGTGTGAGAAATTGACAGCCCGGTTCTGACATGGGGACAGGACGTGACAATCACAGAGGCCTGGGTGTATCACTGGCTGCTGGCATCTATTGGCTGCCCCCAGCCTCTCCTGCCCTCCTCACAGCCCTTGCAGCCACGGCCCGGAGAAGGCCAGCCCAGCCCGCAGGAGCTGCTACCAAACTTCTCTGGACGATCTTGGCCCAGAAGGTAAGTGAGCTGGGGCTGGCAGACTAACTCCACCAAGAGCCTTGGGAGGAAGGGAAAAGTTGGCACAGTGTCTCTGTCTCTACTGGTACCTCCGTGCAGCCGTGAAAGGAGCCGTAAATTGCACCAGCAACTTGGGCTATGGGCCCACTAGGGCTCAGAGCCACTGTGTGCATCGGGGGGATGAACAACAGGGCAGAGTGAGGGGATGTCTCACTGCTCCTTCCTGGGGCATTTGCATTGAAGCATTTGCACCCTTCCAGCTGCTGCTCTGTGTCCCGGAGCGGCTCGCCTCTGAATGGGGTGACCTTGGCCTTACAGCCAGCCCCACTCACAGTGATTCGGAGGGTCCGCGGCATGGGTCAGAGTCAGCCGGACGCATGGGGCCCCTGCTGCTGATTGCCTTGGAGCGTGACCAGCTTTGGACCCATCACCACCCGTCTTGGAGGCAGCAAAGCGTTCGCAGGCTGGGGGCGAGCGAGCGGCCCACTGGGCCAACTCAACCAGGAGCACACCGGCAGCTCCAGGTTCCTCCTCCGGACTTGGGATACTCCACACAGGCCAGCTGCCTCATTAGTGACACCCAGGCCAGGCACATGTCTCCGAGTTCGTCGAGCCTCGTCCTGGCACTCTGGAGGTCGAAGGTCATCCGTGGGGCATTGATGGGCCACTGCTGCCTTCCTGGCCCCTCTGCACAGCTCCGTGGACCCTGCCAGTGGCAAGTCACCTGATCAAGTGTGGAGGGTCCCTGGTCCAGGCCAGCTCTGCCTTCCCATCTGTCAAGCCCCCGGGAGCTGCTCCCTGCCGGCGCGGCTAGCTCATGCTGCTGGATGAAAGGCTGCTTGCTGCACTGGGTGGAGAGGGAACGGCATGGTTAGAATTCAACCAATGGTCTTGGCTCTGGGCCCGATCCTGCAAGCGAGGGGTGGGGAGGCCCCTTGCGTTGCAGGATTGGATCCACACAGTAGCACTGTAACTATAGGGGGTGGCTAGATTGGGGGTAAGGGGGCAATAAAATAAAAAGGGTAAAACGCGGTGCTGGAGCCTCAATCCAGCTCTGGGGGGGACACAGACCAGGGAGGTCTGAAGGAGCTAACCGGGGCTGTGTCTGGGTGGGGGTGGCATTTCCCCCCTGCAGAACTGCACTCTTCCTCCAGCTGATGTAAACCCACGAGTGCTGCAGTGATACACCCAAGTGCCCGTTCCTCTCTGGCCTCCAGCTCCCCTGTGGCAATGAGTTCCACAGCTCACACATGAAGAGCTCAGCTCTATGAAAGTGTCTCATACACCGCGGGGCCTTGCAGCTAAAACCCAGAGCCTGAGCCCCAGCACCTCCCACAGGGCTGAAGCCAGGAGCTGCGGGGTTGAAACTCTGATCCCCGGTGCCCCCTGAGGGGCTGAAGCAGGTGCAGCAGGGCTGAATTCTGGAGCCCCGAGCCCCGGTGCTCCCCATGGGGCAGAAGCCCTGAGCCAATGGGCAGAGTTGAGGGGACACGGGGGTGTTGCCCCCCAAAAAAACTACAGTGCAATGCGAAGCGTTCTGGAAACTCCCACCCCATGTATCTCAATCGGCCCACCCAGGGTCGGACCCCGCTTCTCCGTGTTTCTCACGCACCATCCTGTTCATTCGGGGGCAGCAACACCACCCTAATAATCAGACCAAAATGGGAATGAAAAGAGAGGAGCAACCCCTGCGGGGGGGCCCTGGGAGCAGGGGGGGCAGTTCCCCACCCTGGCACACAGCCCCCTTTAGCATTCAGATGGCAACATTGCCAAACCCACTCTGCCCACAGTGACCCAGCAGGCGAATGCTGCTGATGGGGCCCACCAGGAGGGTGTGGGGATGGGCCAGGGAACATTTGGGCTGTCAGGAGTGAGCCAGGGAAAGGTGAGCGCCATGGGTGTGTATTGCACAAACACAAACACACACCACAGCAAGCAACAACAATCAAGAAACAGCAGCAGGAGCTGTTCCCAGAGTCTGTCTTACGGGGTGCTGGATCCTAGCCCAGACTGCCCCCAGAGCCCATTCCAGGTGAGCAGAGAGATCCAGTCCGGGTTAGTCACCTGGCCTGCCCTAACTGCAGATCCCACTGGCTAAGCCCCCCACCCCCGCGTTGTTACAGGTGCAGGGAAATCCAGGATCGGAGTTTGTGTTGCCCGAAGAGGATTCTGGAGTTGAGGGGAAGTGATGGAAATGAGCCAGCTGGCAGAACCAAATCTGCCTCCTAGTGGCAGAATGGGGCAGACACACATCAGGAGGTGGTGTAACCCATGAATTGAAGTTCACTGGTAGGTATCTGGCCCACAGACCTTGAGGTACCAGCAGGCCTAGCGCACAGCCCCAGCAGATACCCGCTTTGCAGGATCTGGCACCGAGGCCAACTGTTCCTGACTGCTGAGTCCTGAAGCGACCAATCAGCTCCACCCGCTTTGTGACAGGAAGTGGCGAGCTCTATCCCAGGGATCAGCTGGTGTCCGGAGGGCTAGTGCAGGAGCCCACTGCATTCAGAGATCTGGGGTCCCAAAGGTGATACGAGCTTGGCAGCTTCTGCTTGACCCTGGCAGACGTTTGTCCGTATCACAAAACCCCTGCAAGAGTGCGGAGCAGACCCTGGTGCTCACGAGGCCCGGGCTGGAAGAGCTGGGGAGCTGATGCAGATGAGGGTTGTGGGGTAACAGCGGAGTTGGGGGGGACCGGACTGGACAGATGGGCACTGAAGTGCACCGGCAGAGCTGTGCGTGCGGAATCTCACACTTGTCCATGCTGCGCCCGGCAGGAGCCAGAGCTCCGAGTTCCTCACTTCGCTAAGTTAGCGCAGAAGAAACTCAGCCTCTCCTGATGCGCCATCGCAGAGAGCCGGTGGCAAAGAGCTGGCAGAGGGCAATGAGGTAGCGAGAAGCAGAGCGATTCCACGCGCGGGCCCAGACCTCAACTGACCCCGCTCCCTCCCACTCCGCGGGTCTCCTGTTAGTCACTCGCTAGCCCGCGTCTGTTTCACAGAGGGACAAGGACAGACACGCGCCCGCCGGCTCCTCGCACACTGACCTGGCGAAGCTGACTCGCGACTCACCGTCAGCAGCACCTCCTGGTTATCGGCCAGTGCCTGCTTGGCTAAGTAGCGCTCTCGCTTGATCGTCAGCTCCAGTGACCCCGGGACATCAGGCACCAGCCAGTCGATGAGGCGCAGGAAGAAAAAGACAACGTGCTGGTGGGGCGGGGGGAGGGGAGGGGAGGCGAGGACAAACGGACAGAAAATGAGAAGCAGGGACAGATGGACAAAGAGAGAGGCAGGGAGGATAAAGCCACATGGAAAACAAGAAGAAAGGACAAGGTTCAGAGAGGCTCTATTCGCAATGGCCCTCTACTGTTAGTCCTGGCCAGAGGGGAAGGCTGGCCCAGTGGTTAGGGCCTGAACTTGGCACTTAGCCTTGTGGGGCATCAGGGAGTCATGAGGACAGACACATTGACAACCGTGTGGGGCTCAGGTACTAGAGTCCAGGGGCCCTGACAGCTATGCAGATCACAGCCCTACAGCAAAGGAGGGCGTCCACCCAGCCCCACAGAGAGCAGCCGCTCACCTCCAGCCCACAGGCTGCAAGCCACTGGCCTATTCACTGAGACTGTTTTATGGTAACACCCGTTGTTTCATGTTCTCTATGTATATAAATCTCCCCACTGTATTTTCCACTGAATGCATCCGATGAAGTGAGCTGTAGCTCACGAAAGCTCATGCTCAAATAAATTTGTTAGTCTCTAAGGTGCCACAAGTCCTCCTGTTCTTTTTGTGAATACAGACTAACACGGCTGCTACTCTGAAACCTGTTTTACGCAGCAGGCAGGGTGCTGAATGTGGCCTGGTCCCAGCCCTGCCTTTCAGGCCACACTGGGCACCGTCCAGCCCCTCCCTTTGATTCCCTAGCTCCTGGCCCAGCCCAGGTCAGAATCACCCCCAGTCGACGTCTGGGCACCTTCAACACCTCCAGGTTTACCCTCAAACCAAAACTCTGCATTCCCAGACCTGGGAGCTTCATACCAAACCGCCAGGGGCAGGGAGCGTCTGTCGGATCCTAATGCTACGGTCACACACATAACAATAACGAGGCCTCTCGCCAGAGTCCGAGAGCCTCTGCTCCAGCTGGCCTTGGATACGCAGCACCGATTCGTCGTCCAAGTGTGTCATGGACAGTCATGAAAGTCCTTCAGATGGAGGCGCTGTACAGCCGGCCTCACTGGCATGTTCCCGGCGCCTCTGGAGTGAGCCAGGGAGGGTGGAAAGTCAGGTGAAAATGCCAAATAGTTCGAATGGGGCAGGAAAGACCTTTTCTGGTCCTTGGAAAGGATCCACAGCTCAGGTCTGGTTCAAGCTGGGGTCTCGGGGTGAGGTTTGTGTGCCCAGACTGGTTCCTCTGCCCTTCAGTGCAACCCCCACCCTCGCCCCCCAGAGGTTTCTGATCCACTTGGAAAGAAATAAGCCAAGGTGATGGGCATGGTCCAGGACCCTAAAGCAACCCAGCAGAGAAGAAGGGGCAGCCCTGCCTCTCCCCGCCTTGCTCTCAGCTGCCCGGCCTGGCCTGGGTCCAGCAGGGCTGGCAGGGGCTCTGAGCAGCACAGGGGGCCGGTGGGAGGACCGCCGAGCCCACGCCTGCACGGTGCTGGCCGAGGCTCACCTCGAAAGCGATGATGAAGCCCAGGCGGATGGCCAGCAGCTTCCAGTAGAAGAGGGTGTAGTTCCCATTGGCATCCCGGAAGGCTTTGTACCTGGACAGAGGGGCAGCAGCTTAGGGGGGGCTGGCTCAGTCCCCCGCTCGTGAGCCTCACCTTGGTGGGTGGGGCGAGGAAAGGTTACTTGACTGATAGCCCTGGCAGCTCCCACATTCCAACCCCCCCAAACTAGAGCCTCCCAGGGAACAAGCTGGGAGGTCAGGCCCCACGGCCCAGTCAGCCCAGGGTCCCTGCTGACCTGCCAGTGAGTGGCCAGCCGGTGCCAAGGGCGGGTGGAGCCTTCCTGGCAGCTGCCCTTTGGCAACTGGACGGAGACCCACCAACCTCATCTACACAAGCCCCTGAACCACTGCCCCTGCTACCAGCCCCAGTTTCATTGCACCCAGTGACCCGGTGGTGAACGGCTCCAGGCCCAGCCCCAGGGAAGCCTCTGAAAATGGCTTTGGTTCTGCTCAGCTGGGGAGAGAAGGGTCTTAACTGCAGCTCCCCATCACCCTCCCCCCTCACCCACTCCCCAACCCCCTGTGCTGTCCCTCCCCTTTCCCCATTGCCCCTCCCACCACCTCCCCGTGCCGGGCACCTGCACAGGGTGTGGTTGCCGGTGGCCATGTAGCACGGGGGGGAGTAGGCCAAGGTGAAGTTGACGTAGCCCTGCAACTGGCTCTCGTGCTCGTACTGGTAGAGGAGCCGGGGCAGGAAGTCCGAGGTGAAGGCGATGAGGAAGGCCTGAGTGCGCGAAGGACGGGGGTCAATGGCGAGTCATCCGGGACGTCCCCCGGTTCCCCCTCCCCAGGAGTGAGAACAGCTGAGCCAGGGTTCCCCACCGTGGGGCACATGGGGCTGCCACAGGGCGGGTTGAAGGCTCGGGCCACAGGCTGCCCTGCTGGGAGCAGTGAAGGAGAGGAACGGGGCTGGCAGGGGGAGGAGAGCAGCCAAGTCAGTGCAGGGTTTCAGGGACCATATAGAGATGGCGACCTGGAAGGGACCTCGAGAGACCATCTAGCCCAGTCTCCTGACCTGAGGCAGGACTAAGTATCGTCTAGACCAGTCCTGGCAGGTTTTTGTCTAACCTGCTCTTTAAAACCGCCACTGACCGAGATTCCACACCGTCCTGTGGTAACTCGTTCCAGTGCGTAACTGCCCTGACACTGCGGGAGTTTTTCCTAACGTCTGATTTGAACCTCCCTTGCTGCAATTTAAGCCCGTTGCCTCTTGTCCTGTCCTCAGAGGTTAACGAGAACAATTTATCACCCTCCTCATTGTAACAACCTTTTATGTGCTTGAAAACTGTTCTCATGTCCCATCTCAGTCTTCTCTTCTCCAGACTAAACAAACCAAGTTTTTTCAATCTTCCCTCATTGGTCATATTTTCTAGACCTTTATTCTTTTATGTAGTTCTTCTCTGGACTTTCTCCAATCTGTCCACATCTTTTCTGAAATGTGGCACCCAGAATTGGACACAATACTCCAGTTGAGGCCATATAAACACGGAGTAGAGTGGAAGAATGACTTCTCGTGTCTCACTTACAGTATTCCGGCTTATACATCCCAGAATGACATTTGCTTTTTTTGCAACAGCATTACACTGTTGACTCATATTTAGCTTGTGATCCACTCTGACCCCCAGATCCCTTTCCGCAGCACTCCCTCCTAGGCCGTCATTTCCCATTGTGTGTGTGCAACTGATTGTTCCTTCCTAAGTGGAGTACTTTGCGTTTGTCCTCATTGAATTTCATCCTATTTACTTCAGACCATTTGTCCAGATCATTTTGAATTTTAATCCTATCCTCCAAAGCACTCGCAACTCCTCCCAGCTTGGTATTGTCCACAAACTTTGTAAGTGCACTCTCTGTGCCATTATCTAAATCATTGATGAAGATATTGAACAGAACGAGACCCAGAACCGATCCCTGAGGGATCCCACTCATTATGCCCTTCCAGCATGATTGTGAACCACTGATAACTACTCTCTGGGAACAGTTTTGCAACCAGTTATGCGCCCACTTTATAGTAGCTTCACGTAGGCAATATTACTCTAGTTTGTTTATGAGACGGTCACATGAGACAGTATCAAAAGCCGAACTAAAGTCGACCTACACCACATCTACCGCTTCCCCCCACCAACAAAGCTTGTTACCCTGTCAAAGAACATTGTCTCTCAAGTCACCTAAGACCAGCTGGAGGGTGTCAGGTGGCAGAGATCAGAGAAAGGGATTGGGAGCCGCAGGGAGACATGTGGGAGCCTGGATGGGTGCCACAGGGCACACCTCCGACCCCAGGCTCCTAGAGAAGCACCAAGGGCAGGGAAAGCTGGGGCGCATGGTACCCTGCTCTGGTAGACTTCTGTCTTCAGATCCCATCCCCAAGGCAGACAAGGCACAATCCACCCTCACCTTCACCGGGGGCACCGCTCCTTTAGCAGCTGGGCTTTGTCCAGTGCTCTGGGACCCCTGCAGAGTCCTTGTGCTGTGTCAGTAACACTCGCGGGGTGATTAGTGTATGAAGGGCCCTGTGTGGGTGGCGCCCACCCCACACAGCTCCTGCCAGGGACAGGCCAGGGGCAGGCAGCCAGCAGAGGCAGCTGGGCAAGATGGAGGAAGGAGGGTGCCAGGGAAGCAGCAGGAGGCTGCTCCAAGCAGGGGGGCAGTGGGAATGTAGGCAGGGAGCCAGCAGGGCATGGAACGGGCAGGGTGAGTCGGGAGAGGACAGGGCATTGGATTGTTCCAGGCATGCTCAGTGCCTGGCCTGGGGATGCTGTGGCTGGGAACGGCCTCCGAGGAGCCGACTCTGCACTCACGTTGACGACGACGGAGATCTGAGCCAGGACCTCCAGGATGAGGAACCAGACCCCGATGTCCTGGGTGCGGTAGGCCACCGGGCGCCGGTACTCGCACACAAACTTCTGGGCGTCCAGACGGATCTCCACCCAGTTATTAAGCAGGGCAAAGAGCGGGGCCAGCGGGAAGGCAGCCACGAAGATCGTGATGAACCCGAACTGCAGCACTGCAAGCCCAAGGGAGCAAGGAGTGAGGTGGCTGCTCAGCCAGGGTCTGCTCCCCCATCGCCAGAAGGATCCCATGAAGCGCCTCCTGCTGGGAGAGGCTGGGACTGGAGTACCTGGGCACACCTCTCCACAGCCAGCACTTCTGCCCCACTCCCTACAGTGCCCCCTGCTGCAAATGGCTGGGAGCTCCCCCAGCCAGCGCTCTCTATAGAATGAATAGCTTTTAGTTGTAAATCAAACACCTTTCAGGCCTGGCCCTGGCTCTCCCTCCAGCCGCGGGGCTGGGTATACAGCTCCCCGCATTAAGGCTGAAGCTCCAGCGACCTGCGGTCTGGGATTTCCACGCAGGCCGAGCCAGAGTCGCTGGGCACCAGCGGCCAGCGCGTCTCCTAACCCGGCCGGCTGCGCCCCTCGCTCACCCATCTCCAGGTACTCATCAAAGAGCCCCTCGCACTCGATCAGCTCGTAGTCCTCTTCCCATCGCGGGGGCTCCTGGCTGATCTGCGTGCCCCGCACCCTGGCCAGCTTGCGCTTCTGCTGCCAGGCCTTCAGCTTGCTGTGGAGGGGGGAAGAGGGACAGGGGAGAATCCATGGGCTGGCTCTAGGCGTGTGTGTGTGGAGGGTGGAGGCTGCTTTTACACCAGCCAGAGGGGGTGAGGCACATGGCCACGTGCTGCGTCCTAATCTGTATCACACAGGTGTTGTCCAGGACTTCCCTGCAACCATCACAGGTGGAAACTGCCATCTGCTAGAGCCATGGGTCAGTGCCAAGAGCCCCCCAGCCTGGCCAGAGGAGAAACCCGCACTGGATTTCTGAGCCATCCAGACTAGGCCTCCTTTTCCAGTCACTGAACGGACAGATGCATGCAGGCTCCTGACTGTCACCGAATGCTCTGGCCACTTACAAGCATGCCCCCCCGCCCCCCGCCCCCCCGGCTCCTGTCTGTGCTGCCCTGAAGGTTCCCAGCCCTATGGGATGGGGTGTAGACCAACACAACCCCAACAGCTCCCGGCCGCCTAACACCAAGCCAGCTGGTTTCCTTCTGCTGCCCCATCACCAGGCTCCGCCGGGCACTCACGGGATGACGAACTCCTGGATGTTGCCGATGATCTGCTTCCCCACCATGATGATGAACAGCTGCTGCGCCAATTCGATCAGGCACCCCCCCGGGGCCGCACTGCAGGAGCCAGGAGAGACACACGGTCACTCAGGCCATGAGCAAAGGGCAAGCTCAGCTGGGCTGGGTTAGCTCAGCAGCTGGCTCGGCCTGCACGTCCCCAGTGCAGAACAACCCAGCCAGACCCAGCCCTGTGGGAGAGAGACCTGAGCCTCCAGAGGTCCAGCCCCCATATGCTCCCAGCACAGGTGAGAGCAGGTCCGCGCTGGGATTGCACGGCGTCTCCAAGGGCAGCCCCAGCAGACTCACAACACGGGGGCCCCCACCCCCCGGGGTCCGTCTCGGCCTGGATCCCATCTGCGGCCACTGCCAAGTGCAGTGATCTGCCCCGGGCAGAATTGTCTGCCTGGCAGCATCAGAGAAGCCCAGCAGGGTCCCTAAGGCCGTTGCGGTGGGACATAAAAGGGTCTCCTAAGAGCTGGGCATGCTGAGGACGGGGTGGAGGGACCCCAAGGGAGCAGGAAGTCTGGTTGGTAAAGGATAAACCATCAAAGCTCTTTGGAGCGGGGACAGGCTCTTTGTTCTGGGTTTGTACAGCACCTAGCACCCTGGGGTCCTGGCCGTAGCTGGGGCTCCAAGAGGCTCCCTGTGGTGTCCCCCGCCCCCAAGACTCACCTCCTCGTTCCTCAGGCCGAGCAGCGTACCGTACTGCCCAGGGTACCCCACAAACCTGCAGGGACAGGAGAGGCCTGGTTGGTTGTTTCTCTGATCTATGGCAGGGCAGGCATTGACTGGCACATTTCTCACCATGCCTAACCACTGGGGCAGACTGCTGAGGGGGGCGGGCTCTCCGTCTCCTCAGGGCTTCGGAGCCAGCCCGGCTGCCTTCCTGCCTTAGCCAAGCACAGCTGCATGGGCCCAGCCCAGGGGGACCTCCTCTGGCCTGTGCCACGCAGGGCGGAGCAGGCGGCCCAACGGCCCTTTCTGGCTCCACATCGCCTTGCTCTCGCCCAGGCTGTCCCAGAGACAGAGCCCCCCCAGCACCGGCTGCCCCTCCCAGGAAAGAAGAGGCAGGGGAGGGACAGGGGCTGGGTGTGCTGGGGGCAGGGATGCGACCCTGCAAGGCAGTGAGATAGCTGCAGGCAGGGATTCTTCGGGGAGTCTGCTGGACGTGAGCCAGACCCGGCGGTTCTCTCTGACCCTCAGGCTGGCCCCCACGGCCTCCGCTGACCCCTGTCGCCACAGGGGGCCTCCCTCAGCCCTAGCCTGGATCCACCCGGCAAGGAATGGGCCCGCGGTGCTACAGCCCTGCAGGACCGAAGGGCTTGAGGAAGGGGTCATTCAGCAGCATGTCACTTCCAGCACAGACTCCCCCCGCCCCCCGTACACCAACAAGCGTCACGGAGGCTGTGAGTGCCCATCCCCGTCTCCTCTCTGAAGCAGCAGCTGCAGCCCAGACTCAGCCCAACCCCTGCTCTGCAGGACAGTCCTGCCAGGGACTGGAGAAGGGACCTAACCCGCAGCCTTTGACATGCCACATGTGCTTCCCCGGAGGGGGGGGTGGGGGTAGTCATTCATGACTGGGGCTCTGAGGGCTCCCCCTGGTGGTAGATTTAATCCCTGCAATCCTCCTGCCAGCTGCCTAGATTTCGCATCAGTCCCTGTTTGGGGGGGCCAGGCTCAAGGTCGGGGGTTTGAATTCGGGGTAGGTCAGATTTCTGGTTTGTCAGTTCCCAGCTCCAAAACCAATGTCACCTGCACTCCAGCGATGGGAGACGGAAATCAGAACATGTGGGAGGTTTGGGATTTTTTACGCATAAATTCGGCATTAAGTCACCTGCTCCGAAGACTTTCATCTGCGGCTAGGAGAGCAGGGCAGCAGCGTCTCTGAGCCAGCCAGCCGGTTGGTTGTGCAAAGCCCCTCGGGGATCTGACCCTCTTTCAGATGGGGGGGAGGGGGCTTCCCATGAAATCTATGATGTGTTAATAATTATAGAGGATTCTGGCAATTCGGGCAAGGACCCACAGGAAGAGGGCAGAGCAGTTTCATGCAGGGCGAGAGGGGGTGATAAATTCAATGGCATATTCATAAACCTCGCCCGCATGTGGTTTTGGGGAGGAATCTCCAAGCCCACAGCTGAACAGTGCATCCATTGTGCAGGGGCATCGGCAGACACATGGCATGGGGATCCTGGGCATGACTGAAGCAGCCAGATGTTCCACAGATGAGTCACAGCTGCCGTTTTGGTCCTTCCAGAGTAACCACATCATTCCTCCCTGGCTGATCACTGCGCACCTTGGATCCAGCCCCTCCCTTCACAGGATGTGATTGAACTGGGGGTTGGCAGGCGGCTCCAAGGGAGGGGGTTCCCCTCCCTAGGAAGGGGTGTCAAGAGCCAGCCACCCCTCCCCAGAACTTATCTCCATGGCCAGGGTCAGAACGGTGTTTGGAAGACACAGAATTAGGGGTAGTGCAACATACCATACGGCCACCCAGCATGCTAACGTGTGCCATGCACAGCACACGCTGCCATATAGGTCAGGCATGCCGACATGCATGTGCCATGTACAGGAGCATGTGCCACCATGTAACACGCTTACGGCTCATGCGAGTGTGCCTGCACCGTTTCCGCGGTGCCACACACACTGGGCACGTTTACTGGCGTCATTCGTGTCACTGCAGTGGAACGCGGCACGGCTCAGGGACAGAACATCTCTCAAGTGGCCGCAGCCTCCAGCTCTGCCCACGGAGCCCGGTTCCCCGCTTCACCGGTGCCCTCTCTCCCTGCCTCAGGGAGGCCCCGGACCAGCCTGCCTCACACGTGATCCCTGTCACCCGGGCCCCTTGCCCACAAAGCCGGGAGCAGCACACCGTCTCACACCTGCCTTTGAAGAAGGCCACGTAGAAGGGGGAGGAGTAGAAGTTGACGAACTGGAAGATGAAGACTTTGAAGGTGAAGGCGTCCTCATGCAGGGTCTGGGTCCGGTGCATCTCTGCGGAGGGGACACAAGGGGGCAGTGTCAGGAAGTCACACATGGGCACTGCCCAGCGGCCACGGTAGCCAGTCAGCTCCCCGGGCCAGCGGGCATGAGACTACGGGAGGGAGCGTCACTTCCTCTGCCACTGAGGATGCCCCCTTCCCTGCACTCGACATCTGAGACAACCCCAGCTCACGCCGGCACCTCCTGCTGACAGACCAGGGCTCAGACCCTTACAGGATTCCTGCAACAGTTTCTAGTCACAGCTCTGCCATCAGGGCTGAGCCGGGCACAGGAGCAATACACGTCCACATGGAACCCACAGTACAGGAGTCAGGGTGTTTGTCCCGCTCTAGTGACTGGTCCATGTAAGAGGGTAAGAGTCTACTACTACTGCCAGCTTATGGAGTTGCTCCTTTAGCTCAAGTGGGAAAGGCGCTTTTGGCGCTGAATGTCTCCGTTTCAATCCCCCTTGACGACCGATGGTGGGAGGGCTGTTACACAAGTCGGTGGCTGCAGGACTCGAACGCCTATTGCATGAGGTTCTCTCTCCAGCAGGGCCCCTAATGACGCGGGCTCTCAGCTGGCCTGGCTGTAAAGAGGATACAGGCACTCACAGGACCTTCGGTCCCAAGCAACGCCCTGCACAGACCAGTGGAAAGGGCATCAGCCAATCAAAAATTCCATACGCCCACTGGTGACCTTGGTGCGGGGCTTATCCCGGTGGGAGTGACCAGCTGGGTCCCAAAGAGCCTGTCCCTTCCTCCCACACAGGGGACGGGCCGAGGTCTCTGTAGCTGAATTGGCCTGGCATGGAGGAACCATATTTATTTCAGCAGAGCTTGGATCTGCGATACAGCCTTTCCCCGAGCCCTGACGCTGCCCCCACCGCGTTCACACAGCACGGCTGGCACCCAGAAGGTGGCCAAGGCCAGGACGTGTCAGACCTTTGCAAAGGTGCAGGGTGCCCCCCAGAGCTCGCCTGAGGTGGCACCATCCAGCCCTTGAAGCCCCAGAAGCCCGAGTAGCCATGCTCCCCCGCACACAGCTCCGGGGCTGGGCCTAGGCTGAGGTCTCTGCAGGACACTGGGAGCAGCCCGGGGGGGAGCCCCAGCCGGGCAGCGCTGCCAATGGCTTCTCCTACTCACCCCACCGGGTGAGCTTCTCCGCCAGGGAGGTGTAGACCTGGCTCATGAGGAGGATCAGCACCAGGTTCACCAGGGTGCTGCTGATGTTCGCTATGTTCCCAGCCTGTAAAACAGCGAGGCAAGCAAGCAGTCGCCAGCCCTGGGAGCTTCCCGCGTCGCGACTCACCCCTGGCTCCTAGCCAGCGCCAGCTCCCAAGCTCTTCACAAAGGAGGTCAGTGTCACGAGCCCCATTTTACAGATGGGGAAACTGAGGTGCAGAGCAGGGCAGTGGCCTGCCCCAAGGCAGAGCCGGGAATAGAGCCAGGTCTCCTGAGTCCCAGTGCAGAGCACTCGCCCCACAGCCCTGCCCCAGGTCCGGCTGAGCCCTGGCATAGACTTTCCGGGTGGGCTCCTCTCCAGCAGCTGCACAGTGCTGGCTGGGGCTCCGCTATTCGCGGCCTTAGGAGCTGCCGTCAGCCAACGTGCCCTCCACAGCTAGGTGGCCAGCAGCCGACTGACAGTGCTGGGTCCAAGCAGGGTCCGTCAGAGCTCCCTGGGAGCTCACAGCACCCCAAGCACAGCCGGACCACAGGGCTGTCCGGGAGGGGGTGGCTCCGAGTCCCCGCAAGGCACAGGACTCACCTGGGTCATGAGAATGGCGTTGCCCGTGTGATACATCATCACGCTGACGATGCCCCGGTACATGATCACGGAGACCAGGAAGATAATCACCACGCACAGCTGGGAGGGGGCAAGGGGAAGCCCAGGCGTAAGCAGCAGGAGGTGGGCGGCCCGGCGCTGGACTCGGGGAGTGGACGGCACGCGGAGCAGCGAGCGCCCCCTGCTGGACTGCTCCACTTTGCCAGCGAGGCGCAGGCTCTGAGCCTTCTGACCTGCCAACACCCGGCCCGGGCCTGCCCTGGGCTTGATTCTCTTGTGGGGGTGGGTGAAGTGAGGGGTCTCTGGGGCCCGGGGCTGGTGTCGAACACTCTGGGGGGGAGTGTTAGCACCCCCATGCAGGTCTCGGTGCAGCTTTGGGGGACCCTCTGTCACTCTGCCAGGCCACTTCGACACGTTCCTGGTGGAAGGAGCCCACCCCAGGCGGCCGAAGGAGGACAGATGTCCTGTGGAGACGGACAGTCCATCCTTCCCACCCGCGCCAGGGGCTCCTTTAACGGGGGCTTCAGGAGAGTGACCCCTGCTGGGGGAAGCTGGAAGTGACACCCGATCCAGGCGCTGTCTGCTCTAATCGTCTCCATTCTCTTTGCCATGCCCGTTAACGATCAAAGCTGTCAGCACCCAGCCCAAGTCATGGGGCCTTTCTCGCAACCCGCCCATGCTTCCCAGCTCCACCGGGGTACCTGCATGCTGCGCTGGGGGGAATCTGGGGCAGGAGGATAGGGAGCCCTTTGGGCCTAAGCTTCCCCAGGTCAGCGGGGTTTAAATTCACTACGACCATGGCTGGCATGAGATGAGTTTTCCGGGTCTCAGTCCCGGTGAAGAGGAAGGCTGGCTTGGGGACAGGGCCCGAGCTAAGAGGCAGCGGAGCGGTGTTCGGTGCCAGAAGCCTGTGCTCCTGCTAGCAGGAGAGGAGGAAAAAGGGCTGGAGACAGGAATCGCCGTCAGCACTCTCCTCGCCCTGCTCCGTGGCAGATGAGTTTGAGCCCCAGCCAGCCAGTTCAAAGAACAGGGCAGTGTCCCGCGCGGGCACGTCTCCACCTCACTGAGGCAGGGGATGTCAGCCCGGGCCCTGTCCTCCTCCTTACCATGATGACAATGGCCATGGAGCCCGTCAGGACACGGGAGAGACGGTCCCGCCTCGGGAAGTATGGCTCCTTCACCCCCGTGATAGGGTTCTGCTCCATCCATGGGGCCATGGCAGCGAACTCAGGCCTGGGCCGCTCCTGCAGGAGGGGAAACGGAGCCAGAGGGGGATTTAGCCCCCATTCACCTGGCATGACTGGTGTGGTTCCCCCTCCCAGGGCATCCCCGCTGGGGAGAGAACAGGCTCTGCTGGACTCTTCTGGACAACTGGGCATCCGCAGGCGTGCCCAGACCCTGCAATCTCCTTGCTGAGTTAAATGGGAGTTCCCAGCGTTACAACCGCTGGTGTTTGTGCCCTATTGTGGGAGGGCAAGTGACTTCTTTTCAGGGGAAATGGAGCTGATGCAAACTCTGGGAAGGTTCCGTGCTTCAGAGGACACTGTTAAAACAAGGGGCCAGACACGCTGAAGTAGCTTCCCTAGGAAATCTCTAGGAGGAGGCTCCTACTCCACAGATCTCCTTTCGGCGCATCACCCTGCGGGGGCCTTTTGTCCACTTAGGCCCTATTCAGGGGCTCTCCAGAGAGGCTAAAGGGGTGGCTCTCACACTCACGGGGGTGCTAGTTCTGAGCATAAGCGGCGCAGAAATTGGGAGCCCAGAAGAACCTCCTAGGGGGGTTGAAGAACTAACCACCAGCCACAGCCCTGGTTCGAGTGGGGCGATCTCTGCTCAGCTGTTTAGCACGTGTGCAGGTTCCTTTATTGTTTAATCGATTTTCCCTGTAATGCTTTTACCATACGAACCAAGGTACTTGCTGAGAAAGAGCTGGGTGGTGCCGTATAACTTCAAGCAATGCACCATTTGCAGCCTCTGGAGAGAAAGCAAAGTGCCAATGCTGGCCACCTGCCAGCCTGCTTTGCTGGGCAATAGCACTGTGTAAGCAGGGGGCTGCACAGCCTGGAAATACCCCAGGCAGCAGCGAGAGAGACGCAGGTCTCCACCCAAGGGAGGGGACAACTGGGGAGCAGAAGGGTGGGGGCTCCTGGTGGGCTATTGAGGGGGATACAGGAACAGTGCCACCTGCCAACTCAGTGCCACTGCTGGGGGAGTCGGTGCATCACTGTGCTCGGCCGTGCTCCCATGTCTGGGACTGGTGCCAGTTAGTGGTTGGAGGCCTGAAGAGAGAGAGTCTCCTTAAACGTCACTGGTCTGTGCCTGAGCTTTGGGGCAGGAGGTCTCGTTCCCTGCAGGGGGAGGTGTGTATCCAGCCATAGCCCCCTCTGGCCTCAGGGAGGAGACAGAAGGATCCCCGATGCACACACTTGCACCCATCCTGGCCAGCAAGGTGGCCTGGCGGCAGACGGACAGAGCCAGCCGCGGTGGATGGATGGTCGTGGGAACCCACCTCCTCCTCTTGGAAGTCCATGCAGTCCCAGTGGTGAGCCAGCGTGGCGCTTTTCCTCTTCCAGTACTCCAGGAAGGTCACGGCCCAGAAGGACATGAAGACGCTGAAGAAAACCGTCCCGGGGTGATCAAACAGGTACCCGACCTGCAGGGGCACAGAACAGAGGGGCCACACGGCCTCTTCACCAGACGCAAAAGCCCTTTCCCCCTGCACATGCATTTACATCTTCACCGCCTCCATCTCACACCTCTAGCCTTGCTCCCTATAGCGCCTCCTGCTGGTGTGGGGGTAGCTGGATGCTCTCCTTGAGCCGGTGCCCCTATACCTTTCCCACCTTGAGTGGGACAGGCTGGCGCTAGTTCTGGGGGCCGACACTACTGTGCCATTTCCTATAGCGCCTCCTGCTGGGAGATGCTGGGACTGGAGCAGCCAGGGGCTCCCCTGCAGTCAGAGCTCCAGTCCCCTCCCCACAGCTCCGAGCAGCGCCAGCGAAGGGAGCTCCAACACATGGCTTTGTGGGCGTCTGTGCAGGGAAACCCCAAAGGTAGGGATTTCTCACTGCATCGAGCTGGGCCCCCTTGGGCAGCAGGGTCTGGGCCCTGTCTGCATTAACCCCCAAGCAGCCTTCCCTTACCTTAGCCATGGGGCAGATCTCCGAGATGTTCCAGGTCTCACACGTTTCGCAGAGCGGACACATGAGGAACTGGCCTCCGCTCTCACAGATCTCCTGCCTGGGGGCAGTGAGCACAGGGCTGGGTTAGCATCCATATCAAAGCACCTCGCTGTTTCGCCCCCACCCCCTTTCTTCTCACAGCAGTGACCCGATGGCTTTTGCTAGGCCTGGGAGCGGAGAGTGACGGGAGCTGCTGGAGTAGCCCCTATAGCCCCCCCTCCCCCTCAACTGCCCTGCCCCACCGGCCCTGCGAGAAGGCAGCACGGGGCACACAGTGGCTGGAGGCAGCCTGTGAATTCCTGGGTCTGAGGGCTGGATGGCAGGGGGGGGCGGCTGTGGGAGGGGGGAAGGGTAGCATGGCAGCTGTCTTCCTCACACACACCACGTCCCATTCCCCCCCCCCGCTCCCCACCCCAGCCCCACAGACTCACGCTGGCGTGTTGGTTCCCATGGCAAACAGGCCTGCGAGGAAGATCATGGTGCCCACGGCCGCAGCAGGGAGCAGCCAGGCTGTGTAGAAGCCTGCAGAGGGGACGGGCACGTGAAACCAGCCCCTGGAGGAGGGTGACACCGGGCACAGGAGACCCCCTCCCTCCCCTCTCCATCAAGGGTGGGGCACCAAGACTCCTGGGTTCTACCCCTGGGGCTGATGCTCTGTGTGGCTTGGGGCAAGTCCCTCCCTCGTCTGTGCCTCGGTTTCCCCAGCTGTAAAATGCGGACAACAATCCCGCCCCACCTGGCAGGCTGGAGGCAGGACTAAGGCACTCACAGAGCTCCCCATGGCACCTCGCTTGCCCTCTTCCACCCCACGCCTGCCCACGCCCCTGTGGAGCAGGAGCACGGGGCACCAGGGCAGCATCCACATGGCACTGCTGGCACTTAGCGGCAGCACCAAGGGAAAGAACCAGGAGAACTGCCCATGTGGTCCTGCCCCATGGCCCCTTCCGTATCAGTCAGGGTGCTGGGAGTCTGCCTCTGCTGGCCAGGACCCCGAGAGCCCTGGGCGGTGCCACCAGGCAGCACAGCCTGGGTGAGCCCGGCTGGGGGCAGAGAGAAGCCCCGGGGCTCTGTGTGTCCAGCAGGCTCCAGGAAGAATCCCCGTGATCCCCATCCCAGCCCCAAGCTGGCCCCTGGGATGCTCTAGGGGGTGGGGGCGGTGGGGCAGAGGCGGACAGAAGGGAGGAGGAGGTGGGCTCTCACCCAGCCAGGCGAAGTAGATGGCAATCTTCTCCCCGAAGTACTCGCGGATGTGATCCAGTGGCTGGTACCGGTACCAGCAACCCCACTGGGCCCAGAAGCGGTAGAGGACTTGGCGAGGGTTCAGGGCGTCATCGGGGACCTCAGACTCAGGCGTCTCGAAGGGGCCCTGGGTCAAGGCAACAGAGAGGGAGGTGGGTCGGCCACCTGCACAGCAAGGATGGGGCAGGGTCTCTGCTGTGCCCAGGACCCCCGCCTAGTGCCAGCTGAATGGCTGCAGTGACCAGCCAGGACCTGCGGAGCCAGCAGCTGCCCCCCGGACCCCCGATCCCAGCTCCAGAGGGACGGCTCCCTCCCAGGCCCCCCCATCCCAGCTCCAGAGGGACGGCTCCCTCCCAGGCCCCCCCATCCCAGATCCGGAGGGAAGGCAGCCCACCCGGCAGCCCCTACCTCGTGCAGTGGGAAGGCAGCAGCGTACACCCGTTCGTTCAGCAGCCGGTTGATCCCGATCTCGGCGCGTTTCCGCTTCCCGTAGATGGTGCGAGCCAGGATCTCATAGACCTGCCGACCCGAGGGGCGCGGCACCATCAGCAATGCCTGCCCTCGCCGGGGCTCACGCAGAGCAGGAACCCAGCAAGCCCCGGCTAGGCACAGCCTTGTGGAGCTCACACACCTGGGCCTTGGGACGCTAACGGGAGCCTTTGCATTGACCTTTCTGGCCCAGCCCCCAGGGCAGGAGCTGCCCGCGGCTCTGATGCCCCCACACTCCCCTTGGCCTGTGCTAGATGCAGGGCAGAGGGAGCCTTCCTGACCCTTCCCCAGGCAATCAGCCATGCCCTAGAGCCTGAGATTGGATTCGAACACACGTCGCTGGTTCTAGCATTTCCCACCAGCTGTGGGGCCCACAGAAGCTAAAGCACAGAGCTGGGCCTGAAGCCATGAAGGGGGAATCTGGGTGGGGGTTTCCACACAGAGCCGGTGGGCTGGATCTGAGGGGGAGTTAAATCAGCCCATTAGAGAGCGAGGGGATTTCGATCTGGCCTCCCACCACATGACGGGTCCGCAGAGCTGTCTCTAGTGCGATGGGCAAGAGGGTTAATTCTGGACCCAACCCTGAACCTTCAGCAGAGCCGCCCCTAGCAGAGCAGCCGCAGAGCTCAGGCTGCCTGGCATGGCTGGCGCAGAGGGGGGCAGGCCCCTGAGGTCCCCAGGCTCCCCCCACCCCACTTACGATGCGATGTCGCTGGGTGTTGCTGAAGTAGGAGTCCCGGGAGTCGCTGCCCAGGAACCTGGGGGGATAAACAACAAACAGCCTCGCTGCAGTGGGGCCAGGGGAAGAGAGAGCCAGGACGGTGCTGCCTGGCGGGCTTGGTCCCTGGGCCTGGGGTCCCCTAGGGTTGCCAGGTGTCCGGTTTTCGACGGGACCGTCCAGTTGAAAAGGGAACCTGGCAGCGTCCGGTCAGCACAGCTGACTGGGCGCTAAAAGTCCAGTTACCTGCAGTAACCGGCCTCTGCCACTGGGGGGTGGGAAGAGCAGCAGCTGCTGCTGGAGCCTGGGGGCACAGCTCTGCCTAGCAGCTGCTGCTCTTCCCACCCCCCAGCCCCATGGCGAGAACTGGGTGGCTCCTGGACCAGGCTCCAAAGTAGGTCCCAGCGCCATCCAGGGTGTGGGGGGGTGTTACCTGTCTGCCCCCCACACCTCCCACTGTGCCCCGATTTCCCCAGCCCCTCACTCAGGGACCCCCTTCCCTTCTCCGCTGTGCCGCGATTTCCCCACCCCAGCCCCTTGCCCCGGGGGCTGACCCCTGCCGTGCCACGCTGTGCCCCGAATGGACAGACTCGGCCTCAGCTCCTCCCAGCCCGGTTCTGCTGGCACCAGCTGAGTCCCAGGGGAGGGAGTATCTGAGCGCCTTCCAGAGTGCGGGACGTGCCATGAGTAGCAGGAAGTAGCAGGAAGGGTGGCCCAGTGGTCAGGGAAGCAGCCTGGACTTGGGAGGCCTGGGTTTGAATCCCTGCTCTGCCACAGACTCCCTGTGTGACCCTGGGCATGTCACTCAGTGTCTCTGGGCTCTCGGCCCAGCAGGGCCCAACCCTGGCCAGACTCCCGGGAAGGGGGGGAGGATAAACCCAGTCAAGACAGGGAACTGCTCAGATACTGTGGTGATGGGCCGGGGGCCAAGAACCTGTGAGTCACCCAGCCCCCAAAGGGATGGGAGGGTCCATTCCTGACCCTCCCAGGTATCCTGACACGCAGCAAGGGAAAGGGCCCGATCCAGCCCCGCTGCCTTGGTGGGAGCAGGCTGGGCATGAGCCTGCAAGACACAGCACCGAGCCAGCACGTGCTGCATGGCGGGAAGTGGCTGCTCTCAAGCACCCAGGCAGCTGCTGCCTCTGAAAGCCCTTCCAGTCACCTGCCTTCACCGTCTGCTGGCCTCTCTGGGAACATCCCACTGGCAGGGTGTGATGAAGTGGAACTGTTCTTAATGTTTCCTCTGAATAGTCTGGGGGTGCCTCAGTTTCCCCTATGTAGTTCTTAAGTATCTAGGTGGTGGAGTAATGGTGTATGATCATTGCAGAGCCCTAGAGGGCAGGTGTGTGCAGGGGTCTGGACACAGGGAATGGCCGACACCCTGTTTCCTGGCACGGAGGGGCAGAGGATGCTGAATGCTCCAAGGTCAGACCCAGGAAGGTGGAAGCTGTGTGAGCTGTGTGCCCTGCAGACAGGCTGCTCACAGGAAGGCGACTGCCCCAGAGTCCTGCCTGGCTTCATGGGGAGCAGTTCCAGAGCGTCGCCCGGGGACTCCGTGACACAGGGCCAGGCCCTCAGCAGGGGACTTCCCTGCACAAACAGCCCAGGAGGTGAGGGCTGGGAGTTACTTTCCTGGCAATGCTTCCACTCGCCCCCCTGCCTTGAAATTCAGACTAGGATCTGCCCCCGGTTGCTTGACTACAAACTCATCTGTGTCAAGGGCTGGAAAATCTCTTCCACTGAGATGGGCACCAGGGGCTCTGATCAATTGCTCTCACAGAGCCCGGCAAACCAGGTCCCACAACAGCCAGTGGCCAGTCAGGGCTCGGAGAAGGCCCGTGGGCTAGGGGTCGTGGCTCAGGAGCATTAGCAGAGCTGGGGGGGGGGGCAGCACAGGTGGGCATCAGGTGTGTTTGGCTGGCTCGGTACATAACTATACAAAGCCAAAGGGCTGGGATGTCAGGGGGGCTGCGGGTCGGGATTGAGGGGCACCAGCAGAGCTGGGCCAGGGAAGCTATCGATTTTATGAACATCACGTTCAGCCCCAAGCAGCTGCCTGGCGAGTTACCCACACGGCATCGCTGGACAGGAACTCGCGGGCACCAGGGGAGGGTTTCCCTCAGCCCCAGCCCACTGGGAGCGGCTGCCCCCTCCTCTCCCCTCCCCGGCCCGCTCGCCCGCCCAGACTCACTTGTCCAGCTTGGACCGTCGGAAGGCGCAGGTGTAATAGTCCACGGGCTGGTTGGGGACGTGCTGGTGCAGCAGGTTGGGGATGCACAGACTCCCCAGGACCCCGGCGGAGCTGTTCCAGTCCGGGCTGGGCTGGGCCTGTGGTCAGGATTGAGCGTCAGGGCTGGGGGCGGCCAGGGGAACCTCCCCGACAGACAGTCGCCTCCGGGCGGAGACGGGGCTCGTCCCCCCACTACTTCCTACCCCCAGGGGGGCCGAGCGGAGCTGGGGACGTGGGGGCTGGGATAGTAGGGGGCTACGGGTCGGGATTGAGGGGTGCCGGCAGAGTTGGGTAGGAGGCACCCTCCCCCAGCAAAGGGCAATGGGGGGCCGGTGGGAGAGACCCCGCCCCGCCGGGGCGCACGGACCTGCAGGGGGGCTCGCATGCACAGCTCCTCGGCATAGTACACCAGCACGTCCCACGGGGCGCTCAGCTTCAGGTAGTGGATGGTCTTCCGCTCGCTCCGCATCTCCTCCTGGGGGGGAAGCAGGAGGGGGCTGAACACGGAGCCCCCAGAGGGGCAGAGCTGCCATGTGCCAGCGTCCAGGGGCAGCTCCAGGCCAGGGCCTATAGGGCAGGGATGGGACACACAGCCCTGGGGTCAGGCAGAAGACAGCTGCCTTCTCCCCCACTGCCTTCACCTGGGGCCAGCAAGGCCTCGAGATCCCCCCAATGCACAGTCACCCCAATCAGCAGCAGCCAGGCCTGGCTGGAGCAGGGAGGAACGTGGGACGGGGCCAAGGCCTTGGGAAGGAGGGACATGGTGAGGGCCTGGGGGGCATGGGATGCAGCAGGGGCCTGGACCCTGTGGGGAGCTGGGGCTCGGAGGAGGGGACACTGCAGGGGGGTCAGGCCTGGAGCGGGGAGGGACACGCCAGGGGCCTTGGTTGCCAGGCATCCAGTTTTTGACCGAAACACCCGGTCAAAAAGGGACTCTGGGGGCTCCGGTCAGCGGGGCAGTGGGGGCTGGGGGCTAAGGCAGGCTCCCTGCCTGCCCAGAATTCACATGGCCGCCAGCTCCCTGTGGCTCCTAGGCGCGAGGGCAGCTCCGGGCGCTGCCCCCACCCCTAGTGCTGGCTCCGCAGCTCCCATTGGCCAGGAACTGCAACCAATGGAAGCTGGGGGGCAGCACCTGCGGGCACAAGGGCAGCACACGACACCTCCCTGGCCGCCCATGCGGCTCGGAGCCTCAGGGACTTGGCGGCCGCTTCCTGGGAGCTGCAGTGAGCCCCACCAGGACCCCACACCCTGAACCCCCTCCCACAGCCCGCAGTCCCCTCCCGCACTCAAACTCCCTCCTGGAGCCCGCACCCCGTCCACACCCTGCCCTAGCCCCTACTGCGCCCCAAACCCTTCATCCCCGGCCCCACCCCAGAGCCCGCACCCCCAGCCAGAGCCCTCACCCCCCTCCCACACTCCAACCCTCTGCCCCAGACAAGCTAAAGTGAATGAGCAATGGAAGAAGGGAGGATGGAGCGAGTGGGAGCGGGGCCTCGGAGAAGGGGAGGGGCATGGGGAGGCCTCGGAGAAGGGGCTGGGATGTTCGGTTTTGTGCGATTAGAAAGTTGGCAACCCTACGGGGGCTTGGGGCCCAGGGGGAGAGGGACCGGGGGAGGGGTCGGGGGGGGGGTGGGACACAGCAGGGGTTCAGGGCCCAGGAGAGAGGAAGGATGCGGCGGTGACCGAGGGGGGAGGCACATGGCAGGGGCCAGGGGGCCAGGTGGTGGAGGGACATGGTGGGGACTGGAGCGGGGAGGCACATGGCAGGGGCCCTAGGCCCAGGGGGGAGGAGAGACATGGCAGGGGCCCGGGAGCAGGGATGCGGCGGGTACCTGGGTGGGAGGGTCACAGCAGGGGCCCAGAGGGGAGGAAGGAGGAACACGTTGGGGACCCAGGGTGGGGCAGGCACACGGAAGGGGCCTGGGGCCCAGGGGTAGGAGGGACGCGACAGGGACCTGGGGAGAGGCACACGGCTGGGTCCCAGGGCCTAAGGGGGAGGAGGGATGCGGCGGGGACCGGAGTGGGGAGGCACACGGCAGGGGCCTGGGGCCCAGGGGGGAGAAAGGAGGAACGCGATTGGGACCCAAAGGGGGGTGAAGCACATGGCAGGGGCCCGGGGCCCAGGGGGAGGAGGGACGCGACAGGGACCTGGGAGAGGCACGTGGCAGGGGCCCGGGGCCCAGGGGGAGGAGGGACACGACAGGGACCTGGGAGAGGCACGTGGCAGAGGCCCGGGGCCCAGGGGGAGGAGGGACACGACAGAGACCTGGGAGAGGAACGTGGCAGGGGCCCGGGGCCCAGGGGGAGGAGGGACGCGACAGGGACCTGGGAGAGGCACGTGGCAGGGGCCCGGGGCCCAGGGGGAGGAGGGACGCGACAGGGACCTGGGAGAGGCACGTGGCAGGGGCCCGGGGCCCAGGGGGAGGAGGGACGCGACAGGGACCTGGGGGAGGCACGTGGCAGGGGCCCGGGGACCAGGGGGAGGAGGGACGCGACAGGGACCTGGGGGAAGGTACATGGCAGGGGCCCGGGGCCCAGGAGGAGGAGGAGGGACGCAACAGGGACCTGGGAGAGGAACGTGGCAGGGGCCCGGGGCCCAGGGGGAGAAGGGACGCGACAGGGACCTGGGGGAGGCACGTGGCAGGGGCCCGGGGCCCAGGGGGAGGAGGGACGCGACAGGGACCTGGGGGGAGGTACGTGGCAGGGGCCCGGAGCCCAGGGGGAGGAGGGACGCGACAGGGCCTGGGGGGAGGCACGTGGCAGGGGCCCGGGGCCCAGGGGGAGGAGGGACGTGACAGGGACCTGGGAGAGGCACGTGGCAGGGGCCCGGGGCCCAGGGGGAGGAGGGACGTGACAGGGACCTGGGAGAGGCACGTGGCAGGGGCCCACGGGATAAGTCTCTCCTCTCACCTTCTCCATCAGCAGCCCAGCATTTCTCAGGTTGTTGAGGAACTTCCTCTTCCAGTGCTCGCGGTGCCCGTCTGTCCGGTCGTCTCTGGCCAGCTTCCCCCTCCTCTTCTTCGGGGGGCGCACCTTCTCCTCCCAGACCAGCACGAAGTCTGCGGAGGCAAAGGGGAGGGGGCTGCGGTCCAGCCCTGCAGCGGTCCAGGGGGTGGGAGCCTCCCGCAGGGCTGGACTCACGGTGATAATAAAGTACCAAGACCACGCACAGGATGGGGGGGGGGGGGGGGGCAGCAGCCCTAGGGCCCCTAGGGTCGGGTGGGGGCCCACACATGCCACCACTGCCCCCTGCTGGAGGGAACATCAGCCTCCCTCTGGCACATGCAGCCCTCGTTCTCCACCAGCGGGGGCTCCTCACCGCTAGCCTTAGTGGAGATTCCCCTGGCACTGCAGCGGGCGTGGCCTCGGGCTCTGCGGCAGGACTGTCTAGCTGGCGAACAGGAAGCCCCTGCAGCCGCAGCCCACAGGTGTGAGCAGGGCACTGGGGAGGGAGGGAGCATAGAATCATAGAATCATAGAATATCAGGGTTGGAAGGGACCTCAGGAGGTCATCTAGTCCAACCCCCTGCTCAAAAGCAGGACCCATCCCCAATTAAATCATCCCAGCCAGGGCTTTGTCAAGCCTGACCTTAAAAACTTCTAAGGAAGGAGATTCCACCACCTCCCTAGGCAACGCATTCCAGTGTTTCACCACCCTCCTAGTGAAAAAGTTTTTCCTAATATCCAACCTAACCCTCCCCCCACTGCAACTTGAGACCATTACTCCTTGTCCTGTCCTCTTCCACCACTGAGAATAGTCTAGAACCATCCTCTCTGGAACCACCTCTCAGGTAGTTGAAAGCAGCCGTCAAATCCCCCCTCATTCTTCTCTTCCGCAGACTCAACAATCCCAGTTCGCTCAGCCTCTCCTCATAAGTCATGTGTTCCAGACCCATAATCATTTTTGTTGCCCTCCGCGGGACTCTTTCCAATTTATCCACATCCTTCTTGTAGTGTGGGGCCCAAAACTGGACACAGTACTCCAGATGAGCACTCACCAATGTCGAATTGGTTTTTAAGGTCAGGCTTGACAAAGCCCTGGCTGGGATGATTTAACTGGGAATTGGTCCTGCTTTGAGCAGGGGGTTGGACTAGATGACCTTCTGGGGTCCCTTCCAACCCTGATATTCTATGATTCTATGATTCTATGAATAGAGGGGGATGATCACGTCCCTCGATCTGCTCGCTATGCCCCTACTTATACATCCCAAAATGCCATTGGCCTTCTTGGCAACAAGGGCACACTGCTGACTCATATCCAGCTTCTCGTCCATTGTCACCCCTAGGTCCTTTTCCGCAGAACTGCTGCCTAGCCATTCGGTCCCTAGTCTGTAGCTGTGCATTGGGTTCTTCCGTCCTAAGTGCAGGACCCTGCACTTATCCTTATTGAACCTCATCAGATTTCTTTTGACCCAATCCTCCAATTTGTCTAGGTCCCTCTGTATCCTATCCCTGCCCTCCAGCGTATCTACCACTCCTCCCAGTTTAGTATCATCCACAAATTTGCTGAGAGTGCAATCCACACCATCCTCCAGATCATTTATGAAGATATTGAACAAAAGCGGCCCCAGGACCGACCCCTGGGGCACTCCACTTGACACCGGCTGCCAACTAGACATGGAGCCATTGATCACTAATGTAGCCAAGCAAAGGGCTTTGGATCATTTCATTACTGCTCAGGACAATGTACGTTAGCCGGTAGAACCCTCTGCCACATGATGTTGCCAAGGGAAAGAGATGTGGGGAGCACACGTTCGCAGAGCAAGCAGGGTCATGGGGCTGGGACGCAAGAGATGGAGGGTCACTTCTTGGCTCTGCTGCTGACCCCCTGGGTGTCTTTAAAAAAGTCACTTGCTCTTTGTGCCTCTGCCTGGGGCAACGAGCATCTCTGTGCCCAGCCCCCAGAACAGCCCGGGAGGCCCATTGGCAGTTGGCACAAGGCAAAAGATCTCCGGGGCTGCTCTACGGCAGATTGCAGAGGGCAGTGACATAGGGTGGCGTAGAGACACCTGGGTCCCCCTCCTGGGCTGCGCTGGGCCCAGCTCACACAGCCAGAGAGGGCCCTGCGCGGGCACGTGTCCCTCTCTGGGCTCCTCTGGCTGGAGCCCGCTGGGCTCTTCGGAGAGCCTGGGCTGGCAGCCACCCACTCCCAGCTGGTTCCCCCGTGGCACGAGCACTGCTCCCAGACAGGGGGCCTGGGGGGCTGCCAGGGCAAAGGGGCGCTCACCAATCTGGGTTTGCCCATCTCGGAAGTAGTTGCCCCTGACGTTGGGGCTGTAGCCTTCGTCAGCGTACACGTAGATGGGATCGTCCTTGTCCTCTTCCTCCTGTGGCCAGGAAACAAGAGGGGCAGGGGAGGCATGTTGGGGACAGAGGAGGTGCGTTGGGGGCAGGGGAGGCATGTTGGGGGCAGGGGAGGTGTGATGGGATCAGAGAGAAACCGTGCAGCTCCCGCGCCCTGGGCCAGCCTCGTCCCCACGCCCAAGGTCGGATTCGTTGTTTCTGTGGGGGGGAGCAGGGAAATGTTTCCGTGCTCAAGAAACCTAGAGGAGGAACCTAGAGCCAGATGGGCTGCTTCACCCCACAGCCCTGCCGGTGCCCCTCAGTCCTGACCTGCAGCCCCCGGCTATCCCAGCCCTCAGCTCACCCCCCACCAGCTCTGCCGGTGCCCCTCATGCCCGACCCGCAGCCCCTTGCCAGACCAGCCCTGGGCTCACCCCCTCACACACACACACACACAACCCTGCCGGTGCCCCTCAGTCCTGACCTGCAGCCCCCGGCTATCCCAGCCCCAGGCTCCCCCCCCCATGGTTCTGCAGATGCGCTACAGAACGCCAGCTATCCCGAAGGCCAAACCTTCACCTCGCTTACCGCCCTGGGTCTGTGCGGAGGCCCCCACCCCCCGGACACCGTCTCTGTTAGCTCAAGGAGAAGTCAGCACACGGAAGAGCGAGAAACCAGGCTCTACTGGGGATTCTCACACCGGGTCGGGCTCAAATCGCGCAGCCCCTGAACTGCAATGACCCCCCCCCACCCAGTCTGCGTTCAGCATCCTCTGCTCTCTCCTCCTCTAACTCCCACTCCTCACCTTTAAGCCAGGGCAGGGGCTGAAATGCCCCCCAGTAAGAGACCGAGGGAGCTTTGCAGAGGCCTAGCCGAGAGCAGTGGTGGTTCTCTGCCGGCTAACCATTGTGGGCTGCAGCCGCACGAGACCTATACTCCCTGTGTGGCCCTGAGCATGGGACACGGGCTGCAGCATGCTGACTGGGCTGCAAGCGGCCCGCGGGCTGAAAGCCGCTGGCCTAGGGAGAGGGCCCCGAGCTAGCTGGGACTATAAACCCACCTGAACCAGGGCAGGGGCTGGGCTGGGACTCTGGAATGACTGAGGGGAAGGGGAGGGTTGGATTACGGGACGGGGGGGGGGGGGGGCTGGGCAGCTATGGCTCCCCTCCCCCAAACTCCTGCAGGGATTCTATCACAAAGGCAGTTCCCAGAGATCGCGGACATGGGAAGAGCTGCAGTTTGTGAAATTGACAAACTCCCCCCACCCCACCCCCCAGGACTCAGCACCACCAAGGGCATCGCCCCTGGAAAGAGGGGCTTGCTGGGGGGGGGAGGGAACACGAGGGTTGGAATAGAAGCCGCTGGGAAAGCAGCCTTTCCAGCTGTGGCAAAGCAGAGAGGATGGGGCCGATGCCAGGGTGGCAGATGCCCCTGGGGAAGCCCGTCTGGTTGCCTCGGGGCTGCCACCCACAGCTGGCTCAGCTGCTGCACTGCAGTGTGGGGGAGGCAGGCGGCGTGGGAGTACTGGCCGGTCTAGGGTGGACCACGGGCGGGGGCGTTTGCTGCCCTCCAGATGGGTGCTGCGTGGTGCGAGCTGTTTCTGTTGGAGCTCCCAGTCTTTAGCTGGAGCAGAGGCTCCTTGGGGCCAGGGGTGCCCTGAGCCAGGGAGGACAGAGGGATCCCTGCTCCAGCCCCACACATGCCTGTCTGTCTGTCCATCCGCTATGAAAAGAGTAGAATCTGCAAACTGAACGTGCACTGGGGAGCTCACCGCTCCCAGCTCAGACCCCGGGCCTACAGAGGCCTTTGGGGACGAGGGGGGAACTGGCAATGCCCCCCACAGCCTGCGCTGGGGGCACTCGTGGGAATCGGAGCTGCTGGCTCCCCAGCAGTGATCTAGGGGGTCTCTTGTCTATTGCCTGCATGCATGGCTCAGGGTGAACCACCAGCCCTAGTGACTGCAAGGCAGCAATTCTGCAAGGGCCACAAGCGAAACGAGTTTGTCGGTCTCAGCTTAGTCTTTCGTTGGCATTGGTCTCCGGCCCCAAAACGATACACGGTTTGGCCAGTGGCGCCGGGCCCTGGGAGAGCTGGGGGTGGGTGGGGCAGGGCTGCAGACTGGGACTGCGGGGTGACGGCAGAGCGGTGGGTTGGGGGCACAGCGCCGGAGTAGCTGGGGATTTTCACAAAACCAATCCACCCGGTTTTCCACACACCTGTCCGTGTTCCGCCAGGGGGCGTGGGGGCTGGGCTGCGTGCACGTTGGACACTATGGAAACCGCAGGGTGTTTTTCTCACCAGTGCAGGCAAGATTTATGAAAACAAGGATGAAACCAACTGCACCCCCCAACCCCCTGCCATGGAACACCTGAGAATACCCCCACACACACACACACACTATCACAACAGCCCCCTAGCCAGGTAGCACCGGCAAACACCCACAATCACCACCGCCAGCCGTGCCGCCACGACAAGGCTGGGGTTGCTGAGCTCCAGGAACGCCTGGGCCCGATTCTGTTCTCCCTCCCTTGCAGTCTGCAGTGTTGCACTGGGCCTCAGGAAGAGCAGACCCCGGACCCCTCTCTGTGCAGCAGCCCTGCCGGCCCGGAGCAGCCGGCCACCTGAAGGGCTCTGTCAGCCGCTCTCCCCGCGTGCCCCCTCGTACTCACGAAGCCGCCGTAGGGCACCCCGTTGTAGATGGTGCCGGAGGAGTCGCTGGACAGGCGGGAGCGGCTTTTGTCCAGGGCGATGAGCAGGCTGGCATCCTGAGCGCCTGCCTCCGACCTCTTCTTCCGGATCATGGCGCTGGGTCTGCGATGCCAACTTCAGGACCTTGCTGCCATGGCCCCCCGGGGGACCAGAGCGAGAGTACCCAGGAGCAATTGCTCCCCCGAAAGGGGAGCCGTTGGGGGCCTGGGCTCCAGCCCCAGGGCTGCACTGAGCACCATGTGGGGGCGTGCGGTCTGTACTCCAGGAGCCCCCGTTCAAAGCATCCCTGCACCTGGAGGTGGGTGAGAGGTGATGGCAGAGGGAGAAGGAAGCATCGTAATTCCTAGTGAACCAGCAGCTGCGATGGGACCCCCCTTCCTGCCCTCTGTGCACGCCCCCGCGACGGAGCTGCCAGGGGAACGGGGTCCAGCAGCAGCAGCAGCTGCCTGGCAGTGGCTGGTAATTATGGAGCTCCGATCAGTGCAGGATGTAGGCGCTGCTGGAGGAGGAGACTGGAGTCCTGGGGGGTGTGTGCGGGAGGGGGGTAGATGGATGCAGCCTTTCCATGCCAGGCAGACAGCCGCAGATGCAGACCTGCTCCGGGGTGGGGCTGAGGTGTCTCTGGGCCCCACATAGCACAAGGGGTCAACAGCAGTGAATTGCACAGCAGGGCGGAACGGGCTGATGCAAGATAGAGTCACACAGCCAAAGGATTAAGGGCTTGTCCCCCTTCTACGTGTAGGAGGCAGCATCACCTAGTGGTTACAGCCACGCTCAGCTAACTGGTGCCAAAACAGCACCAGTTTGGAACAGCGTCCCCCCCAGCCCACACAGGATCCCAAAACGCTGCACACACTCGATGAATTAAGCTGCACAACCCCTCTCCTGCTTCACAGATGGGGAAACTGAGGCACAGAGCGGGCACCCACATTCATGGCAGGAATTGAACTCTGACCTTCTGATTCCCAGGCCAGCGCTCTAACTGCACATCTACCTGTCTCTCGCTCTAGCTAGGGGCTGGTTACTAGCCTAAAGAGCCACTAAGCTACAAGCTCAGGGGAAGCCAACAATAAGATCCCCCCTCCCCCGCAGAAAGGGAATGAATTTTAAAAGCCCAGTTCACTTTGCTGCGTTTCTGCCGTTTCTTTACGGTTTTGGCCATTTTGTGCAAGGAAAAGAGACATATCGGTTTCGGTTTTGGCCATAGCCACGTCAATTGCGCTTCCAGGCTCTCCTGCAGCAGGTCAGAGCTGCAGTCTGTGAGCTGGTGTTTTAGAAAACAGCCTTGACTGGAATCCCGACCCATGTGCATCGGGTCTCAGCATCCGTAATCCTCTGGCCCTTACAAAGCTTGGGCCCAGCCCGGTCTGATGGCAGCTTCCTCTGGGCTGCCTGAAATGGGGCTCTCTGCAGAGGATGCTATTAGAGGAATGACGTCAGTTACAGTTCTTGCAAGCATCTCTCTCAGTCTCTCGGCCTCTCAAGTTTGCGCAAAGTCCTGGTCCCCAGTGGAAAGAGACATTAAATATTAAAGATGCCTCCATGAAAAACGGAGAGAGAGAAGCCACTGAAAACAAGAGCCGAAGCAGCCACTTTAGACCCAGGGAGGGAGGAGCAGAGGAATTTTAGCCTCCCAATGGCGGATGAATTAATCTATTCCCCTTCCTGCCCTCCCTCTGCGCTCTTGCTCCCTTGTGCCAATGTACTGCTGCACCTTGAGGAGAAGACACTTGTTGCCTGTCGTTTCCCATGAACCAGGGTTCTCTGCTGGGCCCTGGCACCATGCACGCGGCTTTGCACCCAGCCCGGGCTCTGCTTGACAGCAAATGACCTGACGTCCCCACGTGACGGGGAGGCAACGGAAGGCTCTGGTGTGGTGCACGTCTGGGAGACGCAGATATCTGGAGCGACCCGCTGGCTGCGAGCGGCCCATGCGATGATCTCAGTTTGATAGCCAGGCTGAGCTGGCTTTGGGCCCAACTGAAGAGTGAGCTGGCTGAGCTCAGGCCACACCCTGCAGTGTCTGTATAAAAGGCACCTCCCTGTGTTCTGGCTTGGCCCCAGGAGCAGGTCACGATTGAGGGGCACTGGCAGAGCTGTGCATGGGGATCCCAGCTTGGACCAGCTGCTGGAGCTATGGGTTATGATCCAGGTGCATTGGCACAGCTGGGAGGAGTCCAGGACTGGAATAGCAGGGGGGCTGCAGATCGGCAGAGCTGTGGGGGTGGGAGTCAGGACTGGCCCAGCAGTGGGGGCGGGCTGCAGGTTGGGTGCATTGACAGTCTGTGCTCCGTCATCCAAAGGCGATGGGCGAGTCTCTGATTTTGATCGCTGTGACTGTCTGGGAGGAGGTGACAGCCAGAGCAAAAAGGTTCCATTAAAAGCAAAGCCACACCCCTGCCATGGCAGCTCCGAGCCAGCTGCTCCTCTGCACGTCGCGTCTCCAGGGCTGTGGGCCTCTGTGGGATCGCACACAGCGGGCTAACTGGCCACGGTGGGAACACGTCCTGCATCTCTCTGCAGGTGGCTCCAGCCACTTGCTGTCCAACACCCAGCAGATCTGTCACCCACATTCATTGCTGCTGCTTCCCTAGGGGCAGAGCCCCTTGGATAGGGGACCAGTGAACCACCTACCCCACGAGCTGCCACCTCCTGCTACTCTGCTCTCCGCCAGCAAGTGCCACTGATGCCACGCAGCAAGCAAAGCACCTATGATACACGCCCAGATCCTTCCCCTAGGAATGATCCCTGGGATGCCCCAGCAGCTGGGAAGGGTCAGCAGGAGTGGTGGGCAGGCCACGCTGGCAGGCAGGTGCCAGCACATGAGCAGGATCCAAGTTCAGCTCTGGAGCGTCCCAGCCTGGAAGAGGCCACCAAGGCTGGAGGAAAGGCTCCTGGGCTGGAGGGAGGGTGGAGGGGCACTTCGTATTGCCAGACCAGCTTCCCCTCTAATTGAGGCTGGGGGCAGAGGAAGCATGGCTGCAAGGACAAGTGCTGCAGAGCCAGGCTTGACTAGGGAGGGACAGAGTAATGGGGAGGGATGTAGGGGGTCCCAGATCCCCCCTCCCCATCATGGCAGATCTGGAGCGTGGGTTCAGTTCAGATCCTGCTGCCCATGGATCAGCCCTTCCATTGCTCAGAGAAAGCCCTTCACACACATGATCAGAAAGAGCTGCCTGCCCCCCATGGGAAACACAGAACATCAGTCCCCGTTTACAGATGGGGAAACTGAGGCACGGAGAGGGGATATGGCTTGCCCACATTCAGACAGCAAGTCAGCAGCAGAGCTGGGAACAGAACTAGGAGCCCCTAGCTCCCTGTCTCACTACAAAGCCAGCCCTGCCCCACATGACTCGTCCAAATCTCTCCAGTGTGCTCCGTGGGCTGGAAATCCTGCTCCAAGAGTCTCTCTTGAGGAATGGGGGCCCAGGGGGCTGCTATGACCAGCGCTGGCCACAAACTGGCAGGACAGAGGCGCCTGAGAAAACAGGAGTCTGGGGATGGAGGCTGTTGCCGCTTTTGCATTGAGCAGGTAGTGAACATCCAGGGCCTTGCTGTTTCCGTTAGCAGAAGAAATGGATGATACGGGCCAGGTATTGCTTTGGTGAAATCCTGTTTATTTACACAGAACGTCCAGCCGGTCCTTCTCCCTTGGACACAGGCAGGACATTTGCTCAGAAAGCCCCAAGTCTGCCCCCTCAATCAGTTCTGTGCTCAAGGAGCACTGTCTCTCTGCTCCCTCTCCAGGCCACACTCAGGACTGCTTCTCTTACTGTCTGCCAGATTTCTCACCTTACTCATGCACACAGCTTGCCAAGCAATGCCCCAGCAACTGTGTTCACACCAGGCCCAGGGAAGCCCCTCAGACCCCATGGCTTAACCCTGCTCAGGCTTTGCCATGCAGTCCAGTGTCTTGGGCAGTAGCCTCCTATTACTTCTAACTATCACTCCATAACAGGGCATTTAATTGCTCCTCCTATTTTGCCTGAGAGAAGGGGTTATTTAGTGCACACAACGGCTTTAACCAGGCCTGTGATAGTCTTTGGATCAAAGACCTGCTTATGGTGGCCACTTACACCCCCCAGCATTTGAGCGTTCCCAACCTTTAGAGAGGTTGGCTTGAGCTTGGCTCCAACTCTCAGCAAAGACTCCGGGGTGGAGGGATCTTCCTTGTCTGCATCTCATCATGGTCCCAGAAAACCAGGACACAATGAAGGTCTTGGCCTCCATCCTCAGCTCTCCACACTGTGACAGGCCCCAGCCCGTCTCTGGTACAGGACAACGTAGATCTCCAGGCCAGTGGAGACATGCAAAGAAAGATGCTCATGTTTCTCTCACAGGAAGAGGCCCCGGGTCTGCACTGATTCTCTCCTGCCAGCTGCTGTGGGGAATGGAGGGTGTGGCGGAGATAGTGGCGGGATGGGGGCATTACTGCCAGTGCAGTTTCCATACAGTGCATCTGTCTCTGGATCCTAGTGCAGTGCTGCACGCCAAGGGGCTGTGGCTGCGACCCCAGAGTAGAAGTGGGGCTGAGGGGCAGACACCAGAGCAAAACCTCCCCAGCAAGGTCATTCTGGGGCTTTCCTCTCCCCTCAAACTGGCCTGTCCGACCTGCCTCCCCAACCCTCTGTTCTGCATCATCCCCCCTAGGTGGAGCTCCCCCTTCCCCCAACAGCCAAGCTGAAGGAACAAGAGGGGGAATCAAACCCCCTAGTCCAAGGAGAGGGAAGATGGCCTAGTGGTTAGTGCTCAATTCCCTGTGAGACGTAATCTCTCTGGGCCCATCTGTACAATAAGGACCTTTCTGTAGGTCCTTAGCAGCCCCTCAGCACCAGAGCATCTGCTCCCACACAACCTTAACTGGATCTCAAACACACACACACCCATACGGCAGGGCAGGGCTGTTATCCCCACTGTACAGATGGGGAGCTGAGGCCCAGGGAAGCTAAGGGCAGAACACCAAAGGGATTCCAAAGGGAGTTAGGCACCTAAATGCCTTTGAGGGGCAGGGCAGAAGTAACTTGCCCAAAGTCCTACAGAACAGGGAATTGAACCCTTGGCCACATCACTTCACTGCTCCATGCCTCAGTTTCCCCTCCCACTCTTTGTCTGTCTTGTCTATTTAAACTGTAAGCTCCTTGGGGCACGGACTGTCTCGCCATGTGTCCGTGAAGCACCCAGCACACAGGAGACCTGATTTCAATGGGGCCCTCTAGGGGATATTAGAATAAAAATCCCAGGGAGCCATGCAGTAGATTCAGTAGATCTAAGCGAAGTGGCTTTCCCCCTCACTCCCTATAGACGAGACCATCTAGACATGACTCCGATGGGTTTGTTGTCAATCTCACTTCACTTCCTAAAATCTTCTTTGCTGAATAAGGCACCCCAGGAAGTGCACCCTGGCTGTTGGAACCCTCTGCTGGTAGCTAGGAAGCCTGCACCCAGAAGAGGGACGTGATCAGAGGGGCGAGGTGTGGGCAGGCGCACCCGAGACACCGCCATAGGTGCTGGAACTAGGGGAGCTGCCGCACCCCCTGGCTTGAAGTGGTCTCCATCCTAGGCAGGGTTTACAGTTTGGTTCAGTGGCTCTCAGCTCCCCCACTATACACATGGTTCCAGTGCCCCTGGGCACCGCCGTTGGCCAGGAGCTGAAATGAGCCGTGCATGTTACCTGGCACGAGCCAGCCGCGGATCTGCGAGTTTGGGCGACAGTCAGCATAACGTGATCCCCAACACGTTTGGTGAAAGCCGCCCCTGCTTCTCGGGCCATCTGGTGTCTGTCTGTATATGGAGCAATCCTGGAAGGGAACTCTGGGTCCGACTCAAGTGATCATTTACACCCAATTCCACACCACGCTCATTCCCTCCCCCACAGGCAGCTCACACACACATTAGCAATTCCACAGGTAAAGTTGTAACTTGCTTTCCATTCCCAGCCCCTACAATAATTCTTCCCTGAAGAGCCACTTGCGTGATCGTTAGCCAGGGGGGTGGGTGAATATTTTGAGGTTAATCACATGAGGCTTCTAAGATCTGGGACTGGAAACCAGTGTGCATTTCCCTCTCTGAAAAGCCCTCTCTCTTCTGCTGGGAAGCCGTCTCTCTAAAGTAACTTGGGGTAGAGGCACCGTCTGTTTTATTCCCTCGCCTCAGGTGACGTTGAGGGCTTTGAACGATTTCTGATAACTTCCAAATGCTTCCCCCAGTCTCATCTGCTATTCCCGAGCCCTCGCTCAGAGCCTGGGGTCTTTACCACCTTTGCCCCAGGGCTCATGGTGTTGGTGAACTCTACAGCCAAACTGGGTGGTTGTAAGAGCAGCAGATGCCACCTTAACTCTGCCCCCTTAATGTCACCTCTCCTCCCTCACAGGCCTCTCCTCACCAATGGGAGGAACCCTTGGCTGGCCGTGGTGTGCACTGTCCGACTGCACAGCCACGTGAGATGTGTAGAAGGTGCCCTGTAAACTGAAGCGTGGGTGTTATGCTTATAAGAAGCGCACGGGATCTTTTTCAGGGGAAAAGGCAATACGCCGCGTTTACGGAAGATACAACAATTAGCATATGCATTCAATCACACACACACACACACACACTCTCTCTCTGTCCTGCCATTCGATGTTACAGTTACCAGTCCAGATTGCGGATCAATCTAGTGGTCAGCTAGGTTGATCACGGATAGGGAGGAGCCGGGTTCTGTCAGTTGCGACACGATGCTCCAGGGAAGTCTTGGCAGGACGAACCCAAAGTTTCATGGCAAGGCCCCTGTTTATACAGTGATTTTTCTTCATTGGGACCCATGAGTTTTGCACTGTCATGCTGTAATCAGTTTTTGTTTGACAAGTGCTTGTTTTCTTAAATTGTCCTCCTCATCCTTTATCTTGTTCTTTCATCAAGTCTCTCAGGGAGTTACCCCAGGCTGGTTTGATCACAGCTATCTTGCCCCCATTGATAGGTCCCACTTTAAAGTCGTCAATCTGCCTTCCTCTGACATTTCAATAGGGGCATGTTGCAACCTCTTCAGTTCCTCCCTAGAACATCTGGTCCAGCGATGGCCTTCACACTTACCTCTTAACACACACATTCCTCATTCACACACAACACCAAATTGATTTACACAGAGCATTTGAACAGGAACATCAAACTGCAATGAAAGAGAAAACAATCATTGCATTCTTATACTTATTTTAAAATACTAAACCTACAACAAAGTGGTGACCCTAAAAGGTCTGTTACTGCTTTGAAATCAGCTCAGATACAGATTCTGGCTGATGCATCTTTACCAATGGCCCATCAGGCCATTCCTTTCTGCTTTCAGAAAGGGTGGCTGGCAGCATATGGTGAAATCATACGTAATACATTTAATACATGCTACATTATTACTCTTGATCCTTTATTTAAAATTATACAAAATACAAACATAAAATCCTATTACTACATCATCCCAGGGACGGGGGTCGCAGGCCGGAGGGGTCAGTGCAACAAGGAAAGAGTCGATCTTGAGTGGCTGCTCCTGAAGTGCCACCTTTAGGATACGATCGTTGATCCATAGAACCCAACCTGCGCTCCTTGTCGCAGGGCGGAGACGTGCGGCTGGGGACAGGGTGAGAGATTCCTGCAGGACAACACAATGAGCACTGGCTTTGCTGGGAGCTGGGTTCCTGGCTAGCGCATGAGCCCATGTTGTCAAACCCAGCCACTAATTTTGTGAGCCTCAGGTTTCAGGGCCTGACAGTTACTCACAGGTCCACTGAGGGCAGGGCTCCATTTTGCCCCCTAAAGCAGAGTGTCTTGTGTTACAGCTGGCCCCCTCCAGGGCTGCCAGCCCAGCTTCCTGCCTGGCCACGGCACCCGATGATGCCAGCTCTCCTGTGATCAGCACAAACGGGCAGTCTCACCTCAAGTCCCACACGGGACTGCAACCTGACACCTCCATGCCGCAGGCAGAGCCAGCGCAGGCTAACCCCCCCAGAGGATAAAATTCAATTCAATCCACAGACAGGCCCGGCTTAACAAAGCCCTGGCTGGGATGATTTCGTTGGGGTTGGCCCTGCTTTGAGCAGGGGTGGGAAGAGATGACCTCCTGAGGTCTCTTCCAACCCTGAGATTCTATGATTCTATGACAGGCGCTATCAACGTTTAATAACCTCGAAAGTGACTGTACGAGCTCCTCTGAGCCCTGAGACAGCCCAGATACTAAGGTGATGGGAGCTTCAGAAGTGTGTGCAGCCAAACGATACGTTTAGCAATGCCACGTCCAAATGCACAGTGGGCTACGATCCACCCAGCTCGTCTTGTTGCCTTAGAGACTAACCAATTTATTTGAGCATAAGCTTTCATGAGCTACAGCTCACTTCATCGGATGCATACTGTGGAAAGTGTAGAAGATCTTTTTATATACACACAAAGCATGAAAAAATACCTCCTCCCACCCCACTCTCCTGCTGGTAATAGCTTATCTAAAGTGACCACTCTCCTTACAAGGTGTATGATAATCAACCTCGAGTATCATACACATTGTAAGGAGAGTGATCACTTTAGATAAGCTATTACCAGCAGGAGAGTGGGTTTGTGTGTGGGGGGGGTGAGAAAACCTGGATTTGTGCTGGAAATGGCCCAACTTGATTATCATACACATTGTAAGGAGAGTGGTCACTTTAGATAAGCTATTAGCAGCAGGAGAGTGGGGTGGGAGGAGGTATTTTTTCATGCTTTGTGTGTATAAAAAGATCTTCTACACTTTCCACAGTATGCATCCGATGAAGTGAGCTGTAGCTCATGAAAGCTTATGCTCAAATAAATTGGTTAGTCTCTAAGGTGCCACAAGTCCTCCTTTTCTTTTTGCGAATACAGACTACCACGGCTGTTACTCTGAAACTTGTTGCCTTGGCACTCCAGTGCTGGGGCACGCCCTACCCCAGAGCTGCAAAACTCCCCAGCCCCAAACAGCGCTGCAGAAAGTGCTTCCTCTAGTGCCAGCCTCCAGTGGCTCCTGTGGCCTGTTGCCCGGGATGCTGCTGCCATCCTGGTTAGCTACAGGGATGGAGGAAGGAGCATGCAGGCTGGAGCTCTTCTGGACTGGCTCAGATCAAAGCTAAAGCCGGGAGTGGTCAGTGATTTTGGGTACTCGCCGTGAGAGGCTTGGAGCTGCGGTGCTCTGATCCCAAGTCATGTCGGTGTCAGCTGGGGGCGTTTAGCTCCTCTGGAAATCGGGCCCGTCCTGTCTCAGGGCAGGGCTCCCAGAAACAAAGGTCCCCAGATCAAGTTGGCCACAGGTTTGCGTGATGGCAGTGCCGAGCAGGGCACCTCTGTGATGCTAGAGCCAGTGGGGGCCGGGGGCTCCCAGATCTGGAGGCTAGAGCTGGTCCTTACGAGGCTGCAGCAGAGTCCCACCAAACCAACCTTTGAAAGGCCTCTGGCTCCACCTGAGTTTTTGGGGAGCTGATTTTCAGCACAGGGACGTCTCCTCTGTGCCAGGCTGCGGTGCTGGGACGATCCCAGCCATCACTTGGTCCTGGTACCAGAGGTGCTCCGCCAGCCCGTTCAGCACGTGTGCCACATGCGCCAGCCCAGCGCGGCCGTCCAGGGTCCGCCCGTCGGCCAGCCTGGGCCCGTTCACGCTCTTCATCCGCAGCACGGGCAGGCGCCAGGCTCGCCGGAACTCGGCCAGGTCCCGCTCTGTGACGTCGGTGTGCATGAACTGGTCGAACCTGGGCGGGCGCCGTCAAGGAGCCAGCACTCATCATGGCACAGGGCGCCCGCACGGTGCGCCACCGGGTCATCACACCACAACCACTGCATGGCTCCACCCAACACGATGGGCCACGTTCCGGCCTGGGGTCACCACCAAGTCTAGACCGGGCCCAATATCCCCCTTCCTGACGGGAGGAGGGGGCACATGAGTCCTTCCTCTCTCGCCATCCTCCCCGCTGGCTGCTTGGACAAGGGGAAGGGCTCCTGGCAGCACGGGCCCATTTGCCCAGCTCCCTGCTTGCCCCGAGTGCCACCCACACCCAGGCAGTGCACGAGAGCGGCATGTGGCTCTACAGGTCCGCGATTGGCGTGATGGGTGCTAGAGGAAACCTGAGACAGAACCAGGGACTCTGCCCCATGGGACCCCAGTCACACCCACCCCCGTCATCCTCCAACAGCCTGATTGCGGGGTCCCATCGAGGGGGGAAAAGATGGAGGTGCTCTTCCAAGCTCCGCCTACAAAATGAGTCTTGCCCATGTGAGTGGCTCTGATGAGACGCCACCCACAGAAGACGGGGCAGTTGCTCCACCCAGGATCGTGCGTGTTCCCCAGCGCCGCTGGGCTCCTGGAGCTTGGCTCCCGCTTGGGAGGTCTGACTACGCCCATGGGCTATGCATAGGGTTGCCAACTTTCTAATTGCAGAAAACTGAACACCCTTGTCCTGCCCCTGCCCAGAGGCCCTGCCCCTTCTTCAAGGCCCCGTCCCCCACTCATTCCATCCCCCCTCCCTCCATCGCTTACTCTCCCCCACCCTTGCTCACTTTCACTGGGCTGGGGCAGGGGGTTGGAGTGCAGGAAGGGGTGAGGGCGCTGGCTGGGCGTGCAGGCTCTGGGCTTGGGCCAGAAATGGGGGGTTCAGAGTGTGGAAGGGGGCTTTGGGCTGGGGCAGGGGGATGGAGTACGGAGGGGTAAGTGCTCCAGCTGGGGGTGTGGGTTCTGGGGTGCAGCAGGGGGCTCCAGCCAAGGGGTATGGAGTGCGGAAGGGGGCTCAGGGCTTAGGCAGGGGTGTGGGCTCCGGGTAACGCTTACCTCAGGCAGCTCCCGGGAAGGGGACGTGTTGAGCCCCAACCCCTGGAGAGCACAGGGAGAGGTATGGGCATGCAGCACCGCAGGCCCCAGCCTCCCCCCTCCCACAGAAATGGCCAGCACCTGGGCTGCAGCCTCCTGCTCCCTACAGCTGCCCCACCCCCAGGCAGGCGCTGCAGTCAGAGCAGGCCTCCCAGTTCTTCCTTCCCTGGCTGCTGCCTCGCAAACCTGCCTTCCACATATCAGCACTGCTGGACAATTCTCACCGGCAACCAAGGGGTTGCCAAGAAGCAGAATCGACCCCAGTTCGCACTGGTGAGATGTACAGTTCACACCTCTTTAGAGCCACTCCCCAGGCGCTCTGCAGATTCAGACCTACATCGGTGACACCCCGCTCATGTTTTCGAGGCTTTAATCACAACCTACTGATGTCACTTCCCCCCCCCACCCCGCTTCTAATGGAAGTGGAGATTCTGCAGAACAAGACAGCAGCTTCAGAGAGGTGCAGGTACCCTCACGGTGTGGGTACGTACTGCCTGTTTCTGAGCCCTGGCCTGACTAGTGCAGTAAGAATGAAGGAGATACATCAGTGAGTGCCCTCCGACCAATCTCTGATACAGAGGGAACCAGGAACTCCTGGGTTCTATTCCCAGATCTGCCACTGGCTCCCTGTGTAGCTTTGGGCCAGTCCCTGCCCTGCTCCAAGCCTCAGTTTTCCCATCTGTGAAGCAGAGCTAATGATACTGACCCTCCTGACAGGTGCCTGTTAAGACCAGTTCCTGCCTGCACAGGGATTTGAAGGCGTAACTACTGTGTACGTGCTAAAAATTCCCAGCTTCCTCTGCAGCATCACAGGAAGCAAACAGCCCTGCCTGTGTCTCGCTAACCCCCACCCCAAGCAGGCCAGAAGCTTCCACTGCTAGTGTGAGGCGCATCCCAGTGGTCACTAGAGCTAGGAGTAATCGACGGGGTGGAGTGGAGCCAGCGAGTCAAGGATACTTGGAGCCAATCACTATTTTGACGAAGTTTTCGGATCCCTCCGTGACGCGGGAGATCTGGCTGGGGAGGTCGTCGAAGGATGAGCGGTCGGTGAAAGAAAAGAGGAAGAGGATGCCATCTGCCTTCTCCTTGCAGGCCTAGAAGGGAGCGACACTGTGGATGTCAGCCAGGGTGCACACAGCTAGTCCCAGCCAGTGCAGGGAGGGACTGGTTAGCAGCCTTAACCCTGGATTGGCAGACGCATCTGTGCTCCATTCCTGACTGCCACTGACACCTGTGTGATCTGAAACAAATCATTTCCTCCTGCCGTGCCTCAGCTCCCCCAAGTGTGAAAGGCCAACCAGCATCAGTCCTGGCTAGCACTGGCCCAGCAAGGTGTGCCTGCCATGAGCAGGCCTGACTCTCATTTGCACCAAGGCCAGAGGGGCATAAAATGTAAATGAGAATCAGGCCCAATGAGTTTCAGAGGCATTTCCTTCTGGAGCCAAGCTGGCAGGCTTTGTGCCATATAGGCCCACCCCACCAGTGAGACAAAGGAGAGGGGAGGGGGTATCTGGTCCTGCTGTGAACCCTCAGCTTTACCCCTTACCATGCAGGCTGTGCCGACAGCCCATGCTCTCTCTCCTGACACGGGCTGTTTATTCCTTTAAGAGACCCATTCCTCCCCAGTGGTTTTGCTGCGATGTACATGGGGTGCAGTTTATAGGACCCAGAAGGGTGTTTAACACCTGCTGTTAGAGACAGGCTTAACCCTCCAGCCCAGTTCTGAACATCCCCCGAGCTTTGGGAGGCTGAAATCCGGACCAAAGTTCTGTGCTTTGAAGCAGTCTCAGCTCCCAGGGAGACAGCAGGTCATGACAGCTTCCCCAACCCCGGGGCTGACTCACAGGTAGGATGTGATCAAATTTCTTTAGAGCTGCTTCTCCGCAGTCCCAGAAGTGGAACCTGAAGATGAGCGCCCTGCCGCTGTCCCTCAGCTTGGCCGGCCAATATACCGTCGTCGTCTGGATCCCTGAAATGAGATCGCCCCCATTTAGCTTCCAAGTTCCCTAAGGGCACCCAGAGCCCTTTCTCAGAGCTTGGAGGGAATCACGTATTCAGTGGCCAGCGTACAGGAGACGTGGCATCTAATCCTGACTCTGCCAATGACCCCTTGTGACCTTGGGCTTCATAATCTCTGGGCCTGTCTCCCCATCTGTGAAACAGATTGACACATACCAACCTCACAGGGACATTTTGAGGTTTTATCAATTGATACCTGCTACACTCTTCAAATAGTGGGCATGGCAGCCATGCTAAGGCAGCAGCGAAGGCCATGGACAGTTCTCTGATCTGGGAGTCACAAGACCTGGGTTCTATTCCTCTCCGTGCCATTAGTTTGCTGCATGTCCTTGAGCAAGTCTCAGCCTCGTCCTGTGCCTCAATTTCCCCACTTGTAACACAGGGAACATCCCATCATTGGCCAAACTCACCAGCCTTTAAAAGATGTTTAAGAACAAACAGTTTTCAGGGAGAGAGTCTATGGCTGACCCAGGAGAATGACACAGTGCAACGAATAACGACACTGCTCCCATAAATGCCCAAAGAATAACAATGCTGCATGTACACATCCAGCAACCAGCTGCTGTTCTACTCACCTCATCACGGCCCTCACGTTCCCGCCAGGAAAGGGTTAGGATTTCTGTTTCACAGAAGGGGAAATGAAGGCCCAGGACAAATAAGGCGATTTGTCCAATGTCACATGGTGGCAGAGTCCTGAGCAGAAGCCAGAGTCTTGAGGCCCCAGGTCTCCTCTAGCCACAAAATACCATCCCACGGCTTTGGCTTGTTGTGTTATTCTACAGAAGTTGCCCTGTCCACAAAATACTTGTGTGCTGTGAGCCTCTGGGGGAAACCTCTGCACACAGGGCTGGATGCTTAACAGAAAGCATCGTGTCTGTATTGGGGAGTAGGAGGAAGAGGAAATGAGGCAAAGGGCATCTGGAATCCGGCTGACCCCTGAAGTTGGCCCTATTACCACCTGCAGCCAGTTCCAGGCTCCCTGCAGTGCTACTGCCCCGACTTCTCACTTGCAGTGGGTCTATCCCACGGGCCGGTCGCTTGCACTGGGAAGAACTCCTTCCTGCTCCCTTGCTTGAAGGTCTTCTTCCCTTAGCTCCAAGCCGCTGTTCTGTTCCAGCCGCCTGCTGAGATGGAGGGAGACCTGTCCTCCTCACCCATCCCCGTTGTGCCTGTGCTCTCGACACAACAGCAGAAGCAGGAGGAAATGACCCAAACCCAGCTGGGTTTCAAATAACCATGTTAACGAGCTAGATACACACAAGGCCTAGCTCCATAGACACACCGGTGCTCTGTAAGGTTCTGGTGGCTTCTGCAAAAGAAGACGGAGGGCTCCCAAGCAAGTTAAAGGGACACCACCCAATTCCGATACACTGCAATCCAAACCAAGGAGCTGGAAAGCAGTAGATAGGCAGGTCACTGACAGCAGGGACATGGCCCATAGCAGAGACCAGCATGGGGCTGACCCAGGATGGGTAAGGAAATCCCTTCTGGCTCCCTATCCTCTATGGCTGCCTCTAAGTCGTCTCTTGGCTTAGAGCAAGATGTCCTGCTGCTAGTGATCTCACCAGCAGTTCCCAGGAAAGCGCTGCCTCCCAGAGAAACCATCCCCCATCCTGTCTTGCTTCTCCCCCGTGCTGGGAAGGTTGAGGGACAGTCTCACTCCCTGTCAGTGGCCCTTTGCCACCCTCCAATCAATCACCTGTTGTTTCATGATGTGCACTGGGCACCTCCAGGCCAGCCAGCTTGGCCACCATTGCGGTTTTACCCACGCCGCTTTTCCCAGAGACAAAAATCTTATAGCTGGCAGTGTCAGCGGCCATCTGCGGGGGGAGCACTGGCCTTTCAATCAGTCCTGGAATGAAACAACAGCACTTGTCAATGTCTCTCAACCCTACATTCCCCACCCAACTTCCACAAGAAGTTTTGTTTTGAGATCACAGCTCTCCCAGCCCCCGGTTAAAGGATCAATCTCTCCACGCACCCCAAGTTGGCCGGGTTTTAATTTATCCCAGAATGACCCATTTTCTATCCTTTATAGATCCACAGAAGTAAAGTCCAGAAGGCCCCATTATGATCATCTCGTCTGAGCTCCTGTATGATGCAGGCCAGAGAATTGCAACCAGTGAGCCCTGCATCAAGCCCAGAACTTCTGCTTGAGCTGGAGCGTATCTTTCCGAAAGACATCCAGGTTGAATTTACAGGCCTACCAAGGATGGAGACTGCACCCCATCCCTATGTACGTTCTGTCAATGGTTAGTGACCCTCCTCCCTGTTACAAAACTGCACTGTATTTCTAGTTTGCGATTGTCTGGCTTTAGCTTCCTGGATATACCGTGTCCCGTCTCGTATCTAACTACGTAAAGCTTCGGGGGAACACAACATGCATGGAGGCAACAAGGTCTAGTAGCAGGAGCTGGAAACTGTGAGACCGAACAGTGGGCTCTATCCCTGGCTCTGCTATTGACCTACTGACTGGGCTTCAACACGTCACTTCCCCTCCCTGGGCCTCACTTTCGCCATCTGTTAAGTGGGGATAAGGATAATGACGTCCTCACACATAAGAACACAACATAAGAATGGCCAGACTCGGTCAGACCCAAGGTCCATCTAGCCCAGTACCCTGTCTTCCAACAGTGGCCAGTGCCAGATGCCCCAGAGGGAATGAACAGAACAGATAATCATCAAATGATCCACCTCCTGTTGCCCATTCCCAGCTTCTGGCAAACAGAGGCTAGGGACACCAGCCCAGCCCATCCTGGCTACTAGCCACCGATGGACCTGTCCTCCGTGAACTTATCTAGTTCTTTTTTGAACCCTGTTATAGTTTTGGCCTTCACAACATCCCCAGGCAACGATTTCCAAAGGTTGACTGTGCATTATGTGAAGAAGTACTTTCTTTAGTTTCTTTTAAATGTGCTACCTACTAACTTCAATGAGTGATCTCTGGTTCTTGTGTTATGTGAAGGAGGAAATAACATTTCATAATTCAGTTTCTCCACACCAGTCAAGATTTTATAAAACTCTATCATATCCTTCCTGGGTTGTCACTCTTCCAAGCTGAAAAGTCCCAGTCTTATTCATCTCTCCTCATATGGAAGCTGTTCCATACCCCTAATCGTTTTTGTTGCCTTTCTCTGTACCTTTTCCAATTCTAATATATTTTTTTGAGATGGGGTGACCAGATATGCATGCAGCATTCAAGGTGTGGGTGTACCATGGATTTATATAGTGCATTATGATATTTACTGTTTTATTACCTATCCCAGGGATGGGTAAACTTTTTGGCCCTAGGGCCACATCTGGGAGGGGAAATTGCATGCAGGGCCATGAATGTAGGGCTGGGGCAGGGGTGCGGGTGTGGTGTGCAGGAAGGGGCGAAGTGCAAGGGCTTGGGGTGGAGGAGGGGTTGTGAGGTGTATGAGGGGGCTCAGGGCAGGGGGTTGGAGTGCAGGAGGGGGTGCGGAGTGTGGGGGGGGCTCAAGGGAGAGGTGCAGGGAGGAGTGCAGGAGGGGGCTCAGGGCAGGGGGTTGAGGTGCAGGAGGAGTGTGGGGTGCGGCAGGGGCCTCAGGGCAGAGGGTTTGGGTGCAGGGTCCAGGAGGGGTTCAGGGTGCGGGCTCTAGCCCGGCACCACTTACCTGGAGTGGCTCCGGGGGCAGCAGCGCGCAGCGGGGCTCAGGCAGGCTGCCTACCTGCCCTGGTCTTGCTCCGTGCCATTCCCAGAAGCGGCTGGCTCCATGTCCTTGCGGCCCCTGGGAGAGGCAGGGGGGCAGAGGGCTCCGTGCGCTGCCCTCGCCTGCAGGTACCTCCCCCGAAGCTCCCACTGGTCGCAGTTCCCTGTTCCCAGCCAATGTGGGGGGTGGTGCCTGAAGGCAAGGGCAGCGTGCGGAGTCCTCTGCCTCCCTCTCCCCCAGGGGCTACAGTGACATGGTGCCAGCTGCTTCCGGGAGTGACGCAGGGCCTGCAGCGCCACAGGGGTGGCAATCCCACGGGCCGGATCCAAAGCCCTGACGGGCTGGATCCAGCCCATGGGCCGTAGTTTGCCCCTCCCTGAGCAATCCCTTTCTTAATGATTCACAATATTCTGTTTGCTTTTCTAACTGCCGCTGCACATTGAGTGGACGTTTTCAGAGAACTATCCACGATGACTCCAAGATCTCTTTCTTGAGTGGGAACAGCTAATTTAGACCCCAGCATTCTGTATGTACAGTTGGGATGATGTTTTCCAATGTGCATTACGTTGCATTTATCAACATTGAATTTAATCTGCCATTTTGTTGCCCAGTCACCCAGTTTTGTGAGATCCCTTTGTAACTCTTCGCTGTCTGTAACTATCTTAAGTAATTTGTATCATCTGCAAATGTTGCTGCTTCACTGTTTACCCCTTTTCCCAGATCATTTGTGGATATGTTGAACATCAGTGGTCCCAGTACAGACCCCTGGGGGACCCCACTATTACCTCTCTCCATTCTGAAAACTGACCATTTTTTCCTACCCTTTGTTTCCTATCTTCTAACCAGTTACTGATCCATGAGAAGACCTTCCCTCTAATCCCATGATGTCTTATGACACAGATGCCATGGGTCTGAATGGGCATGCGGCAAGTAACGCTTTGCCCTTCCATTTAAAGATCTCAAAGCACACTGCAAACAGTACTGAATTAACCCTTATTATCCCCTGTCAAGGTTCCTTCCCCACGCTGAACTCTAGGATACAGATGTGGGGACCTGCATGAAAAACTCCCTAAACTTATTCTTACCAGCTTAGATTCAAAACTTCCCCAAGGTACAAACTTTGCCTTGTCCTTGAACAGTATGCTGCCACCACCAAGCGTGTTAAACAAAGAACAGGGAAAGAGCCCACTTGGAGACATCTTCCCCCAAAATATCCCCCCAAGCCCTACACCCCCTTTCCTGGGGAAGGCTTGATAAGAATCCTCACCAATTGGTACAGGTAAACACAGACCCAAACCCTTGGATCTTAAGAACAGTGAAAAAGCAATCAGGTTCTGAAAAAAAGAATTTTAATTAAAGAAAAGGTAAAAGAATCACCTCTGTAAAATCAGGATGGTACATACCTTACAGGGTAATCAGATTCAAAACATAGAGAATCCCTCTAGGCAAAACCTTAAGTTACAAAAAGACACAAAAACAGGAATATACATTCCCTCCAGCACAGCTTATTTTACCAGCCGTTAAACAAAAGAAAATCTAATGCATTTTCTAGCTAGATTACTTACTAACTTAACAGGAGTTGGAAGGCTTGCATTTCTGATCTGTTCCCGGCAAAAGCATCACACAGACAGACAGACAGACAGACAGAACCCTTTGTTCCCCACTCCCCCCCTCTAGATTTGAAAGTATCTTATCCCCTCATTTGTCATTTTGGGTCAGGTGCCAGCGAGGTTACCTAAGCTTCTTAACCCTTTACAGGTGAAAAAGTTTTGCCTCTGGCCAGGAGGGATTTTATAGCACTGTATACAGAAAGGTGGTTACCCTTCCCTTTATATTTATGACATCCTTAGTTAACCGAGGAGGAAACTGAAGGTCAGAGCCTAGAACTCTTTCTCCCCAGGCCCATTCAATAACATCTATAAATGATCCGTTGTTGAATTCACAGTTTATTTCCCCAGTGGTACCACAAATAGGTGGCCAATAAAAGCCTCAATGGGGGGCAAAGGCACTTAGCAGCCTGATTCCCACCACTTTCCTCCTTTACTGTGGCTTAATCTTATCCCATAGAGTCGTCTCTTCTCACCAGCTGCCTCTAGGGCCTGCAGCGGTGATGGGTGCAGAGAGGACTCACCGAAGAATTTCCGCTTGTTTTTCCGCAGGATGGTGGCCAGGTACTCTTTGCCCTCTGGGGACTTGTGCCAGTCTGGAACAATCACAGATCCAGTGGAAACTGCCATCTCTGGACAGGTGGCTGCGAGAGTCAGTGTCTGCTACTGGACCATTGTCAAAAAATCTGTGTAAAGAGAGAGAAGGGAAGGGAATTAAATCTGTGGATAATAAATTTACTAAAAATCAAAAATACAATAGGTTTACTCTAATTTATGACTGCGGGCAAATTATTTCCTTCTATGTGCCTCAGTTTCCCCTCCCACCCTTTGTCTAGGCTGTAAGCTCTTTGGAGGCAGGGACTGTCTCTCACTATGTGTCTGTGCGGCAAAAAGGGACCCTGATCTCAATAGGGACCTTTAGAGGCTACTGGAATATCGACAATTAATAATAATAATGGGGTTAATTTAAGAGAGAACCAGCAGCTACCAGATACTCTAAGGGAGTTAGAGTAGCCTGGTGGACAGACCACTGGACTGGCACTCAGGAGAACTGGATTGTATTCCCATCTCTCCCACCAGACAACATTGGGTGAGTCCTTTGCCCTTCTGTGCCTCAGTTTCCCCTTCCATAAAATTGGGATAATGATCCTGATCTCCTTTGTGACATGCATTGACCTCTACTGATAACACATGCTATGTAAGAGCTTGGGATAATTATTATTACTCCAGACCCCAGGCTTCCAAAGCAGAGATGATACCTGGCTTTTGTTATAGATCTATGACTGATGGCAAGGCGGTCTAGGTCATTCTTTTGTTTGTGTTCATTTAAATATGGATACATAAAAACACGGGCTCTGTCATAAACAGGACTCACGGTCTGGGAAACCCTGGAATCACCCAGTTTTACAGATGCTATTTCTTTTGGGGCATTTAGCATTGGGTGTCGGGTGCTAGACTGACCGCTGGGAAGAGATGAGTTCTCTAGCTAGCCCCTGACTCTTTAGCAGCACTCAGCTCAGGAGAGCAGCTTCTGACAAGAAATGAAGACAAATGCCATGCCCATGTGAAAGCTGCGGGAGTTCAGATGAGCAGAATGTAGTTACTTTTAGCATAGCTGGAATCTGGCCAGGACAATGGGCGTAACTCCTGGAAAGTGCCAGGGGACCCTTCCAGGTGGCAAGTGCTCAGGACAGCGCTGTGACACTGCTAGTCCAGGAGCAGAATGCTATGCCAAAGCCCTGATGCCATACCGATTCCGAGGGACTAATGCCACCAGTGAATCCCTAGCACCGCCGCCTACTGCTCCTGAGTGTTCCTGGAAGCTCTCCCATCCCGACACTGCCTTGGCCTGACGTGGAGAGGGAATTCCACAACACAAGGTGGTATTGCTGAAGGCCATAACAATGAATAAATGCGATTGTTAGTTGGGGGCCCTGCCTAGGGTTTTGCAAGCGCTCGCAGGACTAGCACAGGCTGTATATCCAACCTCACATGCACCTCTCAAAAGGAGGGAGACGTCTGAAGGCTTTGATCCCCTTTTTAGGGGAAAAGGCAACTGATCAAAGCAAAGAAACTAACAGATGTGTTAGCTGCATAAATTATTCCTCTGCCAGCTGCTGGACTGATTTTCTAGACATTCAACAGAGTCAATGGAAAACAGTCAGGCCTAGACCTGCTGATGTGTGGGGTCTATTCTTCTTCGTGCACAGACTGAATGCTGGCCTCCCGCTCACACCACACATTAGCGCCCCCCCCACCACCAACGGGTAAGCTTTCCTTCATTTCCTAAAAATAGTTAGTACATTTTAATGATAGCTCAGTAGCTGAGATTACGAGTCAGTACTTAGCCAGTGCCCTACAAAGGTACTAGGGGAGGCCCTGTGTGGTTTTTCATTGAGCTACTGACCCTTTGGGTTTCAGAGTAACAGCTGTGTTAGTCTGTATTCGCAAAAAGAAAAGGAGTACTTGTGGCACCTTAGAGACTAACCAATTTATTTGAGCATAAGCTTTCGTGAGCTACAGCTCATTTCATCAGATGCATTCCCTTTGGGGTTACTAAAGAACACTCTGCAATTCTCATTAGTAAGCATTGGACTGTTCTCATAGACTTTAATGCCAGAAGGGACCATCGTGACCATCTAGTCTGACCTCCTGCACATCACAGGCCACAGAAACTCACCCACCTACTCCTGTAATAGACCCAGAACCTCTGACTGAGTTACTGGAGTCCTCAAATCATGATTTAAAGATTTCAAATTACAGAAAATCCACCATTTACATTAGTTTAAACCTACAAGCGACCTGTGCCCCATGCTGCTGAGGAAGGCATAAACCCCCACGGTTTCTGCCGATCTGAACTGGGGGGAAATTCCTTCCCGACCCCAAATATGATGATCAGTTAGACCCTGAGCACATGGGCAAGACCCACCAGCCAAAAACATGGGAAATTCTCTTTATAACTCCGAGCCCTCCCCATCTAGTGTCCCACCTCCAGCTGTTGGAGATATTTACTACTAGCAGTTGCAGATCGGCTACATGCCATCAAAGGCAGTCTCATCCTACCATCCCCTCCATAAACTTATCAAGCTCAGTCTTGAAGCCAGTTAGGTTTTTTTGCCCCCACTGCTCCCCTTAGAAGGTTATTCCAGAACTTCACTCCTCTGATGGTTAGAAACCTTTATTTAATTTCAAGCCTAAACTTGTTGATGGCCAGTTTATAGCCATTTGTTCTTGTGTCCATATTAGCACTTAATTTAAATAACAACTCTCCCTCCCTGGTATTTATCCCTCTGATGTATTTATAGACAGCAATCATAGCTCCCCTCAGCCTTTGTTCGGTTAGGCTAAACAAGCCAAGGTCTTTGAATCGCCCCTCATAAGGTAGGTTTCCATTCCTCGGATCATCCTAGCAGCCCTTCTCTGCACCTGTTCCGGTTTGAATTCATGGTTCTTAAACATGGGAGACCAGAATTGTACACGGTATTCCAGATGAGGTCTCATCAGTGACTTGTATGATGGTACTAACACTTCCCTTTCTCTACTGGAAATACCTCGCCTGATGCAACATAGGACTGCATTAGCCTTTTTCACAGCCGCATCACATTGGTGGCTCATAGTCATCCTGTGATCAACCAATACACCCAGGTCTTTCTCCTCCTTTGTTGCTTCTAACTGATATGTCCCCAGCTCATAGCAAAAATTCTGGTTAGTCCCTAAGCGCATGACCTTGCACTTTGCACTATTAAATTTCATCCCATTTCTATTACTCCAGTTTTCAAGGTTGTCCAGATCTTCTTGTATGATATTCCAGTCCTCCTCCATATTGGCAATCTCTTAATTTGTGTCATATGCAAATTTTATTAGCACACTCCCACATTTTGTGCCAAGGTCATGAATGAAAAGGTTAAATAAGGTTGGTCCCAAGACTGATCCCTGAGGAACTCTACGAGTAACTTCTCTCCAGCTTGGGTGTTCCCCTTTCAGTATGACCCGCTGTAGTCTCTCCTTTAACCAGTTCCTTATCCACCTCTCAGTTCTCATATTAATCCCCATCTTCTCCAAGCTAACTAATAATTACCCATTAACTTGCGTCCTGGCCAAACTCCAGGTCAGGTAATTATAATCTGCCTCCTTAAATCCCTCCTGTAGGTTTGTCTCGATACAGGATTCCTCCTTACATTCCATCCTATACTACTGTGCAGCATTACTGTGCACTGTTAAACAGCTGCCATGTTGCACCCCAGAAGTGGATGCATTTCAGTGGTAGGGGAAGTGTTTCTCCGATTCATGTAAAGTGCCTTGGACACAGCAGGCTGAAACACAAGACCTGTTATTAACCCACTGATGTGATGATCAGTTTCCCGCAGGTAACGTCTCTGGCTCATGCTGTATAAAAGTTCTTACTACCCCAATGTTATTCATCCCTTCTCCCTCTGGGAGGAAACTCCACACAGCTGCTGTGGGTGCTTCTCGGGCTCTGTTCGCCTTCCCCGCCGGTCTCCGTCTCGGGGCAGAGGACAGCTCAGGGCCCCTTGTTAAGGTATCAGTGCCACCCCCTCACAATTACACAGCAGCCATCTGCTGGGGAGCGGGTGGCGGTTTGCAAAGGGGAGAGGGATGGTCGGCGTTGCCAGGCCCCATGGTGCAGATGGGGAAACTGAGTCACGGAGCAGGGAAAGGAGGGGCCCAGGGTCACACAGCAAGTCAGTGGCAGAGAACCTGGGGCAGGTCTTGGGGTGGGGGAGGGGAACAACTATGACGTGTGACAAGGGGCCCCGCCCCACCCGGCCATGGTGGCTCCTCGTTGCCCTCGCGAGCACCGCCGAGCGCGCGCACCCGGCGCCTGCCGCTTTGAGGGGACCCCGCTCTCACCTGCAGCCACTTCCGCCTCGCCGGCGTGTGACCTCAGCGCGCACGATCTCGCCCCGCCCCCTGAGCGCGCTCCCACGCCCTGCCCCAGCTCGGTAGCGGCGCATGCGCGAGGGCTGCGCCGGGTCTCGCTGTGGCTGGGTGCACGTGGGGTCGGACAGCGCGAGGAGCCCGCTGTGTGCAGGGCAGCCCCGCCCCCGCCCCGGGCGCTGCCTGGGTCTGCACCGGCCTGCACCCCGCGGGCCCCGACGGCTCGCAGCTTGCCCCAGCGGGGGCCGTTTCTCCAGCGCCAGGGGCAGCTGACATCCCTGCAAAGAAACTCTCCCCCCTCCCCCCGTGCACTGGCTGTGGGCCCTCCCGGGAGGCCAGAGCTTTGCACTTTCTCTGGTCTCAGACCCTGGGACTAGAAGGGTACACAGAGGGCTCAATCACCCCATAGCCACACAATGCAGCTGTCCCCTGCCTTGACACACTCAGCACGTTTTCCTGGCAGTTGTGTTACAGCAGGGCCTAGGGACCCCACTCTGGCCTGGGAGGCCCCTGTGGAGGGTGCTGTACAAAAGAAAGTCCATCAGCCCAGAGCTGAGATTCAGGTCACCTCGTCTGCCCTCCTGCACACTGCAAGCCCCAGAACCTCCCCCCCAGAGACAAACAAAAGCTCTGCAGGCACTAACAGTGCTGATATGACAACATGCTTTTTAATCTCAGTTTTTGCATCTTTAAAAGTAGGGTTGCCAGGTGTTGTGTTTTCAATCAGCACTCCCCAGTCGAAAAGGAACCCTGGTGGCTCCCATCAGCACTGCTGACTGGGCCATTAAAAGCCCAGTCACTGGTGCAGCGGGGCTAAGGCAGGGGCCATGGCTTGGCGCAGCTCCCGGAAGCAGCAGCATAATCCCTGTCAGGGTCCTGTGCGAAAGGGCAGTCAGGGGGTTCCACACACTGCCCCCGCCCCAGGCACCAGCTCCCATGGGCCGGGAACCTGCAGACAGGGCAGCGCAGCCTAGCTGCACCTCTTTGTAGGAGCTGCTGCTTCCGGGAACAGCTTGAGGTAAGCGCCACCCAGAGCGTGCACCTCAACCCCCCACCCTAATCCGAACCCCTCACCCCAAGCACCCTCTTGCACCCCAAATCCCTCATCCCCAGCCCCTATAGCCCCAGCCAGAGCCCTCCCACACCCCCATGCCCCAACCCCCTGCTCCAGCCCTGATCCCCTTCCCGCATTCCAAACCCCTCAGCCCCAGCCTGGAACCTCTCCTGTGCCCCAAACCCCACACCCCTCAACCCTCCCACACATCAATCCCCTACCCCAGCCCAGAGCCCCCTCCCACACCCTGAACCCCTCATTTTTGGCCCCACCCCGGAACCCACACCCCCAGCCCAGAGCCCCCACCCCATACTCCAAACCCCTGCGGCTCCATTCCCCAGTCCAGAGCCCCCTCCTGCACCCCAAATCTGTCTTCCCTGGCCCCACCCCAGAGCCTACACCTCCAGCCAGAGCCCTCACCCCCTCCCACACCCCAATCCCAAACCAGCCCTGTGAAAATGAGTGAGCGAGTGAGGGTGGGGGAAGCGAGTGACAGAGGGAGGAGGGGATAGGGTGAGCAGGGGGCAGGGCCTCAGATGTGGGCGGGGCCACAAGGGCCTCAGAGGGGGGGTGGGGTAAAGGTGTTCGGTTTTGTGCGAGTACAGTAGAACATTGGCAATTCTGTTGAAAAGCCTGCATGCAGCCCCAGCCACTCCCCCCTGAACCCCTAGAGTGACACTCCAATAAGAACAAGGATCATTATAAAAGGTACACAAACAACAGGAGTTTCAAAGGCAGGGTTGTGATAACAGTTCCTTTTTTTCCCCTCTTACGTAAAGGGGTTTCCATTACCAACTTCAAACAGTAACATTTCCCACGAGCAGTCCATAGAAAAACAATGGCTCAACGCTTATACATCACAGCCAAGTTTCGTGAACATTTCCCTTACCCTAGAGCAGAAGAAAAGCCTGTACTAGTGACTATCATTCAGACAGTTGCTCCTCTTAGCACCACACATGACCCACATCAACATGGATCTTAGTTTAATTAAGCCCTTGCCCTTTAGATGGGTAAAGACCAAAGACCCATGGGGAAATTTTCAGAGGCAAAACCAAACCAAAAAGTAGACACCTGCCATCATCTATGCCTTTGAAAAATCTTCCCCCATTGTATAGGAATGCACTGCATGTTTTTGCCGCATCACTTTATTGTTGGACATTTAATTGTATATTGGGGGTATAATTCCCCCTCCCTTCAGATCCCAATCTTGGATGTACCACAAAATCTGCCATGGTGCCTTCTGAAAGGTCTGAATTGGTTAGTAAATGGTCCTGAAAAGGGAGAAAAAAATTGCACTCAAGCCCTGATTTAGAGACGCATTGAAGTGAAGGGGGCTCAGCGCATTACTGTGGAGGCTTAGGACCTCTGAAAGTTAGTCACCCAGCACCCCATGAGACAAAGGGTTGCCTGATAAACTAGATCAAGTTTTTACTGTATTTGAACACGGTGCCCCTGTGCAAGAATGTAGGTGAGATTTGAGAGAGGCTAAGCAAGTTGGGTCCTGATCTTGCACCAATGAAGTCAATGGGAGCTTCACCATGGAGTTCACTGGGTGGGGGATTAAGGTTTGGGCCCCAACTCCCACTGAATTGCAATGGGAACTGAGTGCCCAAATCCCTTTGGCTCCTTTGAAAATAGCCAACCTCTGTCATTTTAGTTATTTCAAAGTTGTGTTAAGCCCTTTAAGGGGCAGCTGAGAAATTGGAAAAAGACAACTCATGATGTGAGGTCATAGCCCCTCCAGCGGCCTCACAAGGCATAGGATCAGAGATATCAAGGTACAGAGCCAACCAAAGGGCGCTGAGGATCTCATAGTAGGAATTGCCTGACTCCGGCCCACTTACTCAAAAGGAATCGTATAGTCCTCTTGTAAGGGAAGGCAGTGCAACGAAACAGATCCATTTAACTGAAACAATAAAACTCCTCCCGTCTCAATTTAAATCTCAAAACTTAACCCTTAAGGCTTGTCTGCTGTCTGTCATAGCAACAAGCCCTTAGGACAAGGGGGGGGGGGGAGAAAAAACGGCACAGAGGGAGCGAGATGTGGGAAGAAAGCCAATAGATGCCACTGGAACAATATACAGAGTTTACATGAAAGCTAGATTTAAAACCCAGTCATTTAAAAACAACTGCCAGCCATCTTTTTATTATTATTTATTTGTTAAATTGCTAAAAATTCATTGGGGGAAAACATTAACAAAAATGAAATTTACACATTTAAATATCAATGAAATCCACTTTTCATTCCTACACTTGGATGAGCCTAAAATGACGAGTAGGGCAAAGTCATCCTGTACACCTGAGTCACAGCACCAGCGACATTGGATCACACTTTGTGCGTATTACACGAAACCTGTTTGTCTGGGGACAGGATGGGGGAGGAAATAAAGACCCACATTTCTGTCATTCATAGAGACCACTTTGGGAGCCATGTTGAAACCATGCAGAACATGCCTTCTGCAACACACACAGGGCAGAGGAGGGAAAGGCAAAGGGACTGCTTTTTGTGTTCCTGGGTCCTTCCACTCCAGTCTGCTGACCTAGCAGAACATGAATGTGTTGGTAAAGAGGCCACAAATGAAGCAAAGCAATGAAACATCATCATGCCAGGATCACCACACGGACTAGAACAGATGGAAATATGAATTGGGAAATGCCACAAGCAAGACCAGGAAGACTCCTTACAGTTTCCATGTGGCTTGCAACCTAGTATGAAGCTATTATAATTGCCCAGACCACTTCCTATGTCACTTTGTACAGTTTTATCTTCTGCAGTGAACTTCGAGCACTTGAGGGCTGGGGTATGATGTGTGTGTCTGTGGGGAAGGGTATAAATCCTATAGTGACAGATAGTGTAAATTCACTAGCAGTTGGCTTTTTAAAACTTTCAGTTTTTGCTCTCAAAAAACCCTGGGTGAAAGACAGACATGCAAATGAAACATGTCAATGTCATCCTGTATAGGGAAATCACAATGGAGTTCTGATCAAGCTGGGGCACATGAGGAAAAAAAAAAAACAACCCCAAACACTGGCTACCCACCTCTGCTACGTTAAGCAACAGCAGTCAACCCAATGTCATCATCATGAAAAGCCCCTCTGCAGCCATGGAAGGGGTTAAAGCTTCGAGAAGAACATTTTAAATATTGATAAAGATACTGTAAGGCGGGATGTCTCATTTAATTGAGACAAAACTGGCTTACATGTTAAATATAATCAGAGCTGGACTTAATAAAGATTCTATATAACAGCATTAAATGTGCATTCAAATATAGCTCACACCCTCAAATCAATTTTTCAAGGCTCAAGTGACACTGGAGGATCTGGGAGATAGACCAGGTTTGCATTAAACCCAGTCCAGCATTAACAAACCAACAGTGACTGAATTTGTTTTGTCCCGTAAAAGGGTTTCAAACCACCTCACCTCAACCTTTGCATTTTACAAAACTGATTCTTGCACTCAAGATGAACACAGAAATTGAAGCAGGCTTGTGTGCTGAAAATGCAGTTCACAAAGAGGCACCTTCAATGCCTTTCAGTCTAACAGAGACAGGTTTTACTGGAGGCCTGGAGATAAATATAAAGCCATGGTTGGGTTTCTTTCATTTTTAAACCATCAGGTTCAAAGAAACCATTTGGGGCTTGTTGAACAAACAAATACCTTCTCAGCGGGGGCAGAATGGGAAAGAACACTCGAGTTAGAGAAGGGTTTTTTTCCTTTAAAAAGGCTTGTGATTCTAGATTTAGAAAACTGTTTTGAGTGACCACCAAAGGTCCAGCAAAACTCAGTGGCCCAGTGGAGACAGTTAAAAGTCCAACCAAAATCATATTGGAAATCTTAAAGGAGCCACTTTGTGGTACATCCAATGCAATGACAACTATCACAGATCTGCCCAGTGTGCAGGTTTCACTGTGATTAGGAAAGGATTTCCTACTTTTATGCCACGTATGTATTAAGATTTATTTTGTGATTAGTCTGCTCAAGGAATACAGGCAGTTTCTG